TTTCGCTACTTCATGCGGTTCACTCACTAGAGTGTAGAACAGAATATATTCAGGATAGGGGTTGTCTAGGATCCTCCAGGTTAGAAATAATGATACACCGTGTCCCTCTACTCATCAGTCAAAAATATCCTCCACATATCGCACATTCCTCTGAGCGTGGAACCACTTTGTCAACTCTGATTCCTCCCTCTCGTCCTCTTGGCTTGCTTCCCTCTTCATCCGTATCATCGCGTCCCGAACCCCCTCTCCAACAGCCTTGGATCCGCAGACAAAGATCTTAGCGCCGCCCTTCTCCCAGAGGTCCCAGACCTCCTTGCGATCCTTCCAGAACAGGTCCTGAACGTATTTACAGCCTTGACTCTCAGGTGTGGTAGTAGACCGAGAGTAGACACGTCGAACTTGAACGACACCAAGGCGCTCCCACTCGTCGAGTTGGTCTCGGTATAGATCGTCCGTGTCTGGAGATCGGCATCCGAAGTAGAGGTTGGCCGGGGCAAGTTTCTTGCCAGTGGAGATCTGGAGCGCACGGTGCTGAATGAAGGCGCGGAATGGAGCAATACCTGTACCAGCTGCTACAAGGAGGAGCGGGGTGGTTTCAGGATCAGATGGGAGGCTGAATGCGGGCGGAGAAGGGCGAATTATGACCTGGAGAACGTCGGAGGGTTGCAAGCTGGCGAGATACGAGGAAGCGACGCCTATGTGAAGGTTCGAAGCATTTGAGTGTGAGGGCTCGCGCAAAGTTGAGAAGGTGAGTGTTGCATGTGAGGGCTTGAAGAGTGGCGAGGATGAGATGGAACTGGGTGTTTGTCAGCGCGTGTACTGTTTACGAGAGAGGACGTAGACTTACTACTGGCGGACGCGCATAGGAGGCAGCATCGAAAGGAAGGTTCCGATGGGGATATAGAGAGCCTGGAAACGCTCGAGGAGATCGAGTACAGATACTCGCTTGGCAGTAATTTCCTCTGCATAATGATCGTTGGCAAGGCGAGTCAGACCTTGAATGGTCTTTTCGTCATTGGTGATCTGGATGAGCTTCAGAATGTTCTATATATCCAAAATTGTCAGCTTTAAATGCTTAAAAGTGTTCAGTAGTAAATGGCGGACTTACCCTCTTCGTAGCTGGTTGCGACAGCTCGACATATGAGCTCAAAACATCCTTGGCCGAAACCGATCCTTCCAGTGGAAGAGCCACTGGCACATCTGAATTGATGTCTAGATGAGCGTCCCAAGAGAGACTCAACGCCCTCATCGCCCGCCGCACCGTCTCTTCTGGATTCACGGGGAGTACTACCAAGTAGTCTCCCGTCTCGTATTTTAGCTCAGGGGGTAGCTCGACTTCGATGTGTTTCTTGAGAGTGAGTTCGCCGCCCTCATATGTTGTAAGTGTCTCGGTTTTGATCACTGTAGCGAGGTGGACATCTTGACGAAGAGTCGAGCTTCGGGGATGGGAGACAGTGGCGCTGACTCCCTGTGGTTCAGAGGTGGAACTGCTGCTACTTTGATCGTTGTCGCCATACCGAGCCTTGAGTGCTGGCCAGAGCATGCCGTCTTCCCAAGCTTCGAAGTCAGCAAAGGTTGCTCCCGTGGAGACGTCCGATGTGCCCAGGCCGACAAGACTTTGAGCCCCTAAATCAGCCAGCCTGCTGTCGATGAGCTTTGGGATACGCTGGTGAGTATTTACCCAGTCGCTATGGCCGCAGCCAAAGACGGCGTACGAGACGTTGTCCAGTGGCCTCTTTTCTGCGTCTAGGCTCTGGATCCAAGAAACAAACTGCCCGGCATTGTCAGGCGGTTCTCCCTCGAATGATGCTGTGACGATAAGTGTGGGGTGATCGGTCGCAAGGGACTCCTTGCCAGTGTCAAGGGAATCAAGCTTGACAGCGCGGAATCCATGTCTAGGCGCGTTGGTGGCCACCTGCTGAGCAAGCGACTTGCATGTGCCGCTATTGGAGCCGTATAAGATCGTAAGGGGTTTACCTTTACCCTCACCCGAGGCTAGTCCTGCTTCTGCGGCTTTCGAGTCGCTGGTTCTTGGGCCTGAGCCTCCGAGTCGCTGTTCAAGCGTCACCGGGGTAAGCCCATCGCGCAATATTGCCCTCATGGCCAACTTGTCTGGCTTGATAGTTAGTGTCTGTTTGTGTGAAAGCTCATACCCAGGTTCGAGCTCGAAGTTGAAGTTCTGGAGTAGCATTGCCATGATGAGCAGGGCTTCCTGCCATGCAAAAGGCCGCCCGATGCAAGACCGCTTGCCATTGCCAAATGGCTTCCAGCAGTTGGGAAACTCCCGATTGAGGCGGTTGAAATTATCATCCAACATACGCTCCGGGATAAATTCATTAACTGTATCACCATAGACAGCCGGGTCTAGGTGGGATTTGAAAACAAAATTCACAATCGGCTGCCCCTTGCTGACGAAATACTTGCCGCCTATGATCGTATCCTCCTTTGGCTCCACAGCGAAGCCAGGAATGGTCGAGCTGTGCCTCAGGGTTTCGCGGAGGACGGCATTAATGTAAGGCAGCTTCGAAATGTGATCGATAGTAATCCGGCCCTTGCCACAGATTGTATCAATCTCCTGCTGTGCCTTTTGAAATGTTTTTGGGTTGTGTAGCATGTGATAAAATGCGTAAGACAGCATCCCTGACGTCGTTTCATGCCCGGCAATGAGGAATGTAATCAAGTTGTCCATAATGCTCCCGTCTGTCATCTTCTTCCCCGTCTGGGGATCAACGCCTTTGAGCATGGCAGTCAATAAGTCATTGTCCCGGTCATCTAGGCCACTCTTACGAGCGTCTATTACTTCCTGTGCTGTTTGACGCAACGTATCAATGTTCTTAGACAGCGTGTTATCACGGTTGCGATAGAAGAAGCTTGGGAAAATCCGTTTATCAATCTCGCCGCACTCGGTGAGGAAGTCAGCCATAGCCTGGACAAACGGATGCATCTCTTGTGAGTAGAAGCTGTTGAATCGGAACCCCATGGAACACAACGCAATAGTATCGAGGGTTAGGCGTGTGAAGTCTTCGGCGGGCTTGACCCATTCTCTAGGTCCAGCACGGGCCCATTTCAACGTAAGCTGCTTTGCAACATCGTGCATCTCATCGTACATGCCACGAATCTTGAGGGGTCCAAAGTCCGGCATGAGGACCCTATGTGCGATACCCCAAGGTTCCTCTCCATCTCGGGCCTTTTTGCAGCGTTTGTTAGCTTCAAACGCAGCTCAAAGGTGGCTTTCCTCTCTCTTCCAAGAAGCAATCAACTTACAGTAAAGAGCCCGTTGTGTACACCTAATCGAATGTGCTAAGCATCGGATACACTGTCAATACGGATTCGTCGATATGGAGTAACTATGATTTGAGGTGGGGAAACTCGAACCTCTAAAGGCGGAGCGATGCACTTTTTGAATCGCTTCTCGTCACATGCTTCATTGATTAGGGCTTGCGTGGAGAGTACGACAATCTTGATTCCGGGAAACCGCAGTCGGTAAATCTCTCCTGTTTTGGAACATGTTATTAGTGACCCAGCGGCAAAAGCCATCAATGGGATGAATGCACCCACCGTATTGATCAGCAAGATCCCGCATGGAGCCTAGAGGGAATGTAGGGTTGACTTGGAAGACATGGCCAACAAAAGGGTAAGCTGGCGGCTCAGGGATCTCGGCGGTAGCAGCCATTGTAATTTGATGATGTATGGAGTGTAATAAGGTGCGTTTAGAACATAGGACACCTCATCGCCCTCGTCTGCGAGTTACTGTCAAGATGGGAAGATGAAATGCCTCTCTACTATTTGCTGTTGGCATTATCTGACTATGGCGGTTGTAATCTCAAACTGGTGAGGGCAAGGGGCCCTGATATATGTTCAACAGCCATGTGTGAAAGCCAGCAGGATGATGTGGCCCGCTGGCCCCATGCGTCTATTCTACCTCCAACCAACATCGGGTTATTAGTTATCAGAAAATCCCGAGATAACACGCTGGCTGGGAAGAGTCCACTCTCTAACCTCCCTTGATGATCTATTCCTAGTCTGACAGATCGGAGGATGACCCAGCGAATCATATCGCTGCGGGTAGAGGAGAATAGATATTAAATCGGGATTGTTAGCATACAAAAGCCGGAGCATTTCTGGGTAGTGCCACTCTAGAAGCTTGAACAACGGCTTTGACGAAGATCCTGGAGGGATACGGAAACGGACTCCGTTCCTCAATTCCGACTCACGGCATTAAGCATCCAATCAGCAGCCGCCAGACGCAGCTGGCATAGCGATGTGATGATTATGTCGGTCGGCTTTTTCCTTCCCCCTTCGGTAAAATATGTCAGTCCGGCCCAATACAATTGTCCATAAACCTGGACCAAAGTCCGCAATAGGGTGGGGCGAGCGGCTTGTTGTTTTAAATCCGACTGTCGTCAGTTTATTTCCTTCTCCAACGTTTCCCCTGCTCTTATATGTCCCCAATCTGGAAGTAAGTTGCACCCCTTGCTTAACACATGACACGGTCTGATATCCTCGCTGCCATAAACAAGCACATGCCTTGTTAGTTGACAGATTCCAATGCTGAGAAAATCATGGCTTTGGGGGTGGAAGCGAAGCGCAGGGATAGACGCGTAAGCACATGAGAGGGCCGAGTTTCAAGCTTCGAGTGCGGATCCCCTTTACTACCTGCGGAGTACAACCTTGCAGCCTACAATGCTCCGCAGAAACCACGCACAAATGGCATGTTTTCGACCTTTCCCGGGATTTTACTGGTTATTCGGCGGTGAAGCCTTGAGGGAATCCAAAACCGCTCTTTAAACTTAGTAGCTACAACATGCTGATAACTAGATATTTGGAGCAATTCTTCAGCACCTCAATTCATGGACCATGCCAAATACAATGAAAGACTAGATCAAATTGTCTTAATCCGGAGTTATTAGCGATATTACTCGTGGAGGACGACAAACTATCGCATTAACTGCTATTTGATTCTTATCTAGGCGCCCAAGGCTCTTTTCGATCCAAGCTTCTTAGACCTCTGCCCTAATGTCAAGTCCCCGGGATTAGCCTCAGATGGAATCAATTATGCTGACTCTAGGATGAATGTAAGATCCATTGGACATCTCAGGCTCTGGTCCATACCATCGCACTATTCTAATAGTCAGCGGGAGAGCGCAGTTTGCAAATCTATTCAAAAACTGAGCTCACAGGTAACAGTAATGTTCGATCCACCGGCAGTGATGGGAAGCCAGCTATTTAATTATTGGTCAGCATATCATGCCGAGTGATTTAGGACACATATTGTGGTAAGTTTCGACATACTTGCTGGTCCAATTAGCGGGAGGCTCAATATCTGTAGCCTGAAGGAGAACCTGGAACGACCCTTCTCCATCAGAGACTAATGACCCGTCCGGAAAGGTTAGGGCATCACGGTCACCAAGAGAGTACCGGTTCAAGTCATTCTCGATAAGGTCTTGGTCTGGACCATATGCAGTAAGACTCCAGAACCCACCCTCTTTGATCTTTGGCACTGCGGCAAAAGTGAAGAGAATTGACTTCCCTTGATCGACGCTGATTTCCTCGGCCCGGCTAGGGTAAACGCACTGGTCATCGGCAAGGCCAAGATATAGATAGGAGGCTACTTGGTAGCGCATTTCATAGTTCGAATTGTAGAGGCCAATGTATTGGTGGTCATGGATCACCCAGCCGTTGCCAACATCATGTAGCACACCGGGCTTAGCAGTGAACTGTTCCACAGTTTCATTAGCACTAGCAACAGCTAAACCGATATCTGAACCCTTGGGCTGAATGAATTCATCGTTTTTAAAACCGGCCTTGGCCAATTTTGTCTTAACCCAGAGTCTATCCCCAGTGACGTAAGGAGGATTGTATGCTGCAATTTTCGCAGCGACCTTTAGCACAGCCTCTTCAAATGTCTGATTGACGCCGGGGAGATATTCCTGGCTACGGAACATGGAAAAGTTGAGCGCAGGTGCCACGGGGTTTCCCGGACGGTCCTGTGCCTCCACAGAGAAACCTGCCTGTAGCGCCCAAATAGCAGCAAGGTCCTCATTTGTGCGGCTTGTAAGAATACGCATATTTGAAAGGCCATATGCCATTGGAAACTTGATCAAACCAACAAAACCAGCCGGTGGGTTCTTTGTATCAAGGCCATACTCACGGTTGTCGTACTTCATGAGGTACTTTCCGGGCAAGTGAGCTTCTAGGTTGCCGATATTGACCAATACATCGCCGTAGCTAGTATCCGTCAGCCAAATAAATCCGATATAGAGCAACAAGAACCACTTACGGAGTGCAAATAGAAAAGACCCAGAACCGATCATCCGGCATGTCGGGTATAGTAATAACGACGTCCTTAGACGAAAGGTCTAAAACCGCGACTGAATACAGCGTATCTGAGTTGGGTCTAACGACCGGTATGACACCCGGAGCTGCTGGAAATTGGTTATGCAGCAGCATGTTGGGTACAGCTTGATCCGCAGGTAAACCCTTGATGACATCCCCGAACGAATACAGAGGATAGCCGTACTAAACACACGTCAATTTAACAAATCAAAACATGGGTCAGATAACCGACAATATAAGCAAACGAAAGCGCATCTTGAGGCCCGTCGAATACTGGCTTGCCAGACACGGCCATGGCCGTAGCGAGCGTGGTAATGAAAAAAACGATGTTGAATCTCATAGCTGGCTTTCGTGGCAAGATTGTTACTTTGTATTTTTGTAGGATTTAGTTTTTGAAAGGATCAAACTTTCCAATATCCTTAGGACAGAGGTTCAGCTTTATATCCTTAATTTGGAGGCACCATGCTCATCGCATAGAGCCGTTATCGTCTGTGGCATGATTAACACGTTATCAAACGAACCGACAGAAGCTGAACGTTAGTGCCAAAGCCCACAAGAATCACCAGACTGGGAGAATCTGACACAGTACTTCGAAACTCAAAGACCAATGACTGGTCCGCGACTTGCCAAAAGCGTAACAGTTTCCTGAAAGTCAACCATTTCATCATCGGTACACGGGCGGGCGGAACTCCGATCGCCGACGCCAAGACTTACATTCGTGTTGTGCCTCTATACCAGTGACTATCAGAGTCATTCAGAAGACGTGGAATGTGCGACCTTACATCATTAAGACCTAGAATTTGCTCGGATTCTACCTCCGAAGTGACAAGATATCTCGTTGTGGAAATGAATTTCGGTGTGCAAGTGGTTATAAATAGGTCAATCAGACGGTGATTCCGTAATAGTAGGTAAGATGTTTGGGACTTTGGTAAGCATGATGGTATCATGTCGGACCTCGGCCAATGCTCGACCGACCTAAAAATTTCATGATGACGATAAATAATACGACAAGACGACGATTATATGTTTTAAGGGACATGAGAGCGCCTAACCATATTAATTAGTGACCAGGGCATATCGCACAAGGGTACATTCGCCTGTCAGTCAGTCAGTACCCTCTGATGCCGGTCCAGGCAGAACTTCACAAATCAAATACAGTTAATTCGAGTTTTAAGTGGCTATACAATCCACAAGACTCATCATATAGGAGCCCATAACCTCTTCCTTTTCCCGAACGTTTATTGTCCAGAGATTGTAAGCTATATTCATTGCGATATCACACAGGAAAATTATAACGTATAACTGCCCGCATTCGGCAGTGATCACTGATAGAAGCACCTGATATCTAATAGATGAGAGTTCGCGTGCAAAGTAAAAAGTAGCAATAAAAGATGCCGGACCCAACCAACCGGCATCTCAACGTAAAATAAGCTCTGCTAGCCCAAGGCTACAGCCACGTTGAAGGAAAACTCTGCAAACCTTCATACCGATGACTGACTTGCCATCAAGACGAGCGGCTCGCCAGATCACTATTTATTCTACTCTCCTCCACACACGACCATTCCCCTCACAGTAACTTATCTTTCTCTATTTCACTCTTCTCTTATCAGTGCAGCCACTCACACGGCACCACGAACTCGCAGTATCTCGAGACGATAAAAAATGCCACTATCTAACGCTCCGACTGAAATTGTCAGCCAGATTTTCAGTTGGCTCGGAACGTCTGACCTAGCGAATCTTTGCCTAGTCAATAAATCTTTTCGCGATGTTGTAGGGTATACTCTCTACTCTGACATCACTTTCAAACGGGATCCTGATCAAAATCCTAGGATCGTCGCTCTTCTGGATACGCTTTTCCGGAAGCCAGAACTTTTTGACCATATCACTGCCCTTACGTTAGATGGAAGCGATTATGCTAAGGATGACGACAAACGACAATTTCAGACAGCTCCGCAATCTGTTCCTACCAGGTATGTGGATGTCGTTCAGACGCTGAACCCACGACTGACCTATTCGTGGACGGACAAGCTCGAGAGAGGCGAAATGGACGCCTTTGCGGCCATACTGATCGCGCATCTTACCCAGATAAGTCATCTCACCATCACTGGTCATAACATCGACCAGGAAAACCTCATTGGCCGAGTCCTTAAATTGAAAATAAGTGGCCAGTTACCGAAATTCGAACGCCTGAAGTTCGTCACTTATTTTGAAGGTCGTGCTAGGTTCAATGATGTGATGCGCCTCTTCCAAATACCCACAGTCACGCACTTGGCAGGTTCGATGGAGAGTTTCCCAAGGGGGGCTTTCAAATGGCTGTCAGATTCGGCCTACTTTCGCAACCTGACTTTTCTAGCTATAGAAGGGTCCAGTGCCGCCAACATGGGTGAAATACTAGCCCTGCCTGAGAACCTAAAGTCACTTGCCTGGAGCTGGGAGTATGCGACTAGAACGAGTAATTCTTCCAGAGCGAAAAATCTTGACCTTGACGAGATCGTTACAGCTCTCTCACACGTGAAAGATACGTTAGAAAGGCTACAGCTCAGGATCACCATCAACACGGAGAAGTACTATGATGGCGAAGAGAAAATAAATGTCATGGGATCATTCAGCGGGCTTAGGGACTTCAACCGAATAACCGACCTCGAGCTGCCGTTGGTATTTCTTGCTGGGTGTGGGGATAACCCTCAACCTCTGGATCACTGCACCCCCGGCGGTATTAAAACGCTTTCTCTCTCATGCGTGCTGTTACTCAACGATGCAGTTAAATGGAACCCAAGTGATGATTGGCTGTCGGACCAAGGGATTCTCGCCCTAGTTTCAGACATGTCAAACAACAGTTCTACTAACCTACCACAACTGCAGCGTATCAACATTTTTGATGTGGATAACTGGTTTGAAAATTGGCAACTCTTTGAGATGTTGGAAGAAACTCCTCTCGATGTAGAGGTTAAGGTTATTCGCCGTGTTCCGCAGCTTTGGGACTTCTAAACATTATGTAGTTGTCCTGTATTTGTTATATGAATTTCTTACTTGTTATTTTACTTTTGTTTTATCTTCCTAAGTAAAATGATATATGAAAACTCATAAAATGAATGCTCAGTCTTACAGATGTCCGTAATATGGTTGATTGAGGTAAAAGATCTATGATCTCCCAACCAAGATGGCTAGAACGTTTTGCCGGTAGATCTCGTCGGGCATGGCAAAGATCCTTGATGGGTTTCACTTGAAAGAGTGCCGGGCAGAAGGCTAAAGGGGTTTGTGAGGCTATATTTATGAAGAAAACGGCCCGGAGCTCGATCAAATGACCGGTATCAATTCAGATTTGTCGAATAATCATGTCAGTCTTCTGCTCAATCAAGCACTTCCCTAGCACGTTATGCCCATTGTGGAAAGCTCCTCACTTCTAGTTCACATCTGTACCCTCACTAGACTGCCCGCAAGCAGACAATCCGAACTCCGTACCCATTACTCTCGACACCACTTAACATATATTCACTTTGCCAGTTGCCTTAATTATATTGCTGCTTTATCAGATCCAGATCGGCTTGGGCCTCTCTTGTGGCGTCCTCTATTTAGCCTCGCTTCCACCTCCTCGGCGGCCATTTGCGTCCCACCATTGTGCCTGTTGCTTTCCTCAAGATGTTCGCGGAGGGCCTGTCGATTCACATCCGGTGCCCTCGATTCACAGATAGGGCAGACGTAGCTCACATCCGTTGCGAATGACTCCCACCGCTCTGTCATTGCTCGATCTCGTCGAATCCCGACGACCTCTCGTGCAATCTCCTCAATCATTTCGATGGTCGCTGGCTGAGAAAGGTAAGATTCGGTCAGCTCTCGGATCGATCGAAGGGTCTCCTCTCCAGATTTCGCTGGCCGCCACTCGTCAAGCGAGATGTTCGCCAGGTTGTTTTCCACATTAAGGCGATACCGTTTCCGCAATCCAATTTCATCGGAAAGGCCATTCCATCCATTCGTCCCATCTTGTCCTTCACAATCTGTCATTTGTTTACTCAAGTTACTTCCAATCTCCCAGTACTTCCTCAGCCACTGCTTCCGCCGAGCGTTATCAATTGTCAAAGCGCGTCTTAGACCCGATCTGACATCCCCTGACGTACGATTTCGTGCGGATTCGCTCTGCACGTGAGCTTGCTTTAGGCCTGTCCCCAGACTTACGAAGATAGAAGGCACCGTTTCGTGAAGACCACGGATTTCTCGCAATGCGACCAACGAGGGATTATTGGCTACCATCCCTCCATCCAAGAATTTCCGCTCGTCTATCTTGATTGACTCAAAATATCGAGGCGCAGCAGTTGTGGCGCGAGCAACCTGCCAGATTGGTACAAATTTATCCCAAGGGTTGCAAGGGATCCAACGATTAGACCCTTGGGCCCGGGGCTTGGGGTTGAACCGGTAGCTTCTCCAAATATAGCAGCTACCGACACTTCCCTTCTTGAGACTCCAAGATATAACCATCCTGTATAAAAACTGAAATTAGCCTCTGAATTCTCACCAATGAGGATCAGATAAAATCAACACATACGTCCTTGTCCGATCTTCCCTGTCTTCAAAGGATTCGGTTACTGCTGCATGTTCGCCTTGTTGAAGACTTTCGAGCACGACATTCTGGAATGCCTCTCCTGTTTTGCGGCTTGAATATTTAGCTCGAGGATACCAGAACGGTGAGCGCTCGTGCCACCGTCTTGGCTTCCCAAAAACCTCATTCCCAAAGGCCTTATACTGGTCGAGTGCTTGGTCGACAGACAACCGCAATCTTCCAAGCATGATACTGCTAAGACTAGAAAAAGGCGTGAGATCAATGACCGTAAAGTGGAGGAAGTTCAACGCCCACTTACCCTCCAGTTGATGTCCCTGCCAAATAATCAAAGTAGTGACACGGGAGAAAGGCATCAACCCGTCCCGTTGCCTCACTTGCCCGGTTCACGGTTTGGTCTTCATCTTCCATCCAAGGATAAGACATACTTGAAGTCACGGGGTATTCAGGGTAGGAGGTTTCAATCCTTCGAATGGCAATCATGATGTTCTTGAGAATTAAAAGACTCGAGTATCCACGAATGCCGCCCCCATCTAACATCACGGCAATTAATCAATATTGGCGCTGGTGTGCTGGTGTGGACTCCATGGCGACGCTCACCAAAAGATAAAACAGTCTTTTTGGACCATGGGCCCTCTTCATCAGAGCAATGTATGTATCCACGAAGCGGTCCGCGGGTTCTAACTAAGTCATAATCCCGTCCCGGGGGGACAGGGTCCTGGGTTCCGTTTGTACTGGAACTCGACATTGGAAATCAGTTACTTTTGTGAGCATTCGGAGATATCAGATAGATGTCTTGCTCTAAGAAGAAGATTGTTTTGTCGGTGCTCAAATTCGAGTTTGCTACGAGGACGCGAAAAAGGTTCATGGGCGGGCATTTTGTAGGCGGAATCACCAGCCTCATTGCATTTTCAAGCATTCAGACAAGGCTCTGGAGAATGCGAACCATTCTACGCAATGAACTAAGCCTCAGCGGTCAGGGGAGATCATCCCGAGCGCCGCTTCAGTTTACCCCTGTCTTTCGAAGCATTTCAGCCGCATTCGTTCATGGGTTTGCCGACAGGGACGATAGCTGAGTTCAATGATATAGAGTCAGCCGGTCCGTATTGCAGCAGCGGAGAGAAAGAAGTGTGGATGGGCAGCCTTGGCATAATCCTCATTTTATCAATCTGAAAGGTAAGATCTACATCCTGCATCTTACTGTGAATTCCTTCATGATCTGTCCTCAACGTGAGACTCTGCCCTCAAGTACGTAATTAGAAAGAGAATAAAGTTCAACAGCAATGGCTGCCCTCAAGTACGTAATCCTTTATTGTACTAGTAATTTTAATGAAGTATGTATACAGACGGAGTAACCATCAAAGGAACTTGACCTAGATCCTGAAGGAGTTGTGGCGCTTGCCCAGCCTTGTTGTGCTGAAGGCTTCAGGTGACCCTACCATCCACCACGTTAGCTGAACCACCAATATTCCCTCATGCACCTAAGATCAGCCACACCGTCGTTTCTGAGGTGAGATGTGTTCGGCTGGACGAGGATGGGGGCATCGCTATGCCGCGAGATTGCAGTCTGTGGAGGCGTTGTTTAGGTGGAAAGGCGCAGCCGACGAGAGGGTATGAAATATTTGCGATGAGCCTCACAGTCAGTATGTGTCTAACCACTTGTACCTTCTCAAAATAAAGGTGAGATGAACCAGTGGGGGTAAGCTGAGATTTGAACATATGTGTCATGCATTGATGACGACATCACAAGACAGAGGTACACTACCAGTTTGAATGTGAGATGATGAATTAGAGCCTTCTGGCCTTGAACAAAGTTCAATCTGAAATGAGAAGAATCCATTGCGACCGAATGGTTTCTATCTACTCTCTACCGCCATTTTTCCCTACTCATCCGAAGTGCGTCCAGACCAATCTCAACTAGTAACGACATAGAGCGTAGACTCATGACCGAGGTACCTATGAAGATTGTATCTAACGCCCAAACTGAGGAGATTGATTGTTGCTACATACTCCTCGTCCTGCTTCAATCCTTTGTCTGCACATGGTAAATACACCGGCATGTTGTTCGTCCAGCGAGGTATTTTCATGGATTCGCATTGCCCGACTAGTAGAGGAATAGTTCAGCAAATGGATTCTTCGTGCAAGAGCAAGAAACTTGAGGTATTATACTTACGATTTCTAACCTTTTTCGGGTCTACCGACGTGAGGTCGTCCGTCTTCTTGTAAAGCACAGCGGCTAGAGCCTTGCCCATTATAACAATTACAAATCCCGGGAGCTGATCCGAAGTTCGAAAACGCTGCTTTGAAAGGGCGGCAGAAATTTTCTATTGCAAAGATAGCAATTGAGGTGAAAACTGCAGAGTGGAGGTCGTAGAATCACCTCTGGAGGGGGGAGACCGGTACTAAAAGGGAACGAGGGAGGGTCAGATCCTGATGGTCGATGCCCACCCCCCCGTGTGGTGTCATGAGACCTATCGGGTGAGCCAAAGCGCGGCATCAGCAGCTCCTGCAGGTTCATTCCAATAACTATCGGAGGGTCCAGGGATACATAGCCGCCTCCGGTGTTAAGTGGGCGCAAGGCCGATTTTCGTGACGCCACAACGCAGACTTGCATATGAGGCACACTCGTCAGGCTTACTCTCAGTTTCGATGCACGTGGCACGCCGCGGGCAGGATTCCCATCTGTAAAATTGGACTCTTGATTTAAACGGATTAGCAAATGTGACCAGGTTGTCTTACAGGCTCTTTTTGAAAGTGTTGACACCCAACATGGCCTCGAGCCCCTTTCCGACAAGTCACAGCGAGGCTTCAGGTGCATGGATTGATCATATGATAACATCACCGCCATTTGAGGCACCATAGGGCTTTGCTAGGAGTGCTTGGGCCGCAGCCTGCGCGAAATAAAAACCGGTTATCGCTCGGTCGAGACCACTTCTTGAAACAAAAGTCGTCATAGCGCATTTTCTACCCCCTATCTTTGTTAATGGACAATTATAATTCGTTCTTTGTTTGAAATTAATGATGATTAGACTTAGCGGAAGCATTCCGTCTTATTTCCAATATTCTCGCTTGCAGAGAGTTCTATAGTTGGCTTTCCAGTCTTCTGGGAAGACAAACAAATCCTATCTACAAACAGCAGAGCCTTACTCTCCATTACCACATCCTATCCTTTAGCATTGGTCAAACAAATCACTAACACTTCTGTCACCCAGGTGCTTGATCTCCCTTTTGCAGGTGAAGCACACTTTTGGCACTCCTATGCTACAATTCTTCATCGATATTCTGCGCTTAATTCCCGAGTCGCAGAGCTAAAGGTCGCTCAGTAATATCTAGGGCAGTTCTATGACTCTCTCATACTTTATGAGGAAAGCGGAGGTCTTAGACCTTCAATCTATCTCTTGCGGGCGTCATCATGTGTTTCGGAAAGGATCCCGCGTCCAAGCTCAGGTGGGAGTCCTGCCTTGCTCTAATGAATATCCAATGCGATAGATATATCCTTTGGACTTATGAGAATCCGCTCCCATTCTATGCCGCTTTTGTAGAAGCTCGCAACGATATTTCACGTCGTCATCACCCCACCTGTTCGGAATACAAAGCGTCTAGTCATGTTAACCATTAAGAACAAGCTCCCCATAGTCCTGGAATCCGAGTTCGTTATTTCAGTGTGACTTGCAATTTAGTGCCTCCTTTCTTCGCCAGTTCGCAATATCTAGACTTAATCATTCAGCTAGTTCGTCAGTGACTACAACATCTTTTTCTGTCTGTGAGGTCTGGTGCTTCTTGGGAATTTCCAAGCGCTTCTTTGACCGTTGATTCCTGCGCGTCTTAGAAAACGTGTTAGTAAAGTAGATACAGACTACTGCTCTTCACAGATGGAAATATATGGCGCCAAATCAACAATCACCTTCTTACTCGGAGGAATTTGTCGTTTCAGAAGTCGGACGGCTTCCTGGCTACTTTCAAATCCTAATCACACTTTGGTAGAAATATATCTAAATAAAAATGCCACGCCTCTCATTTCTCCTCTTCCTATTATTGTCGCAATCCTTTGCGTCATTCATATATCCACACTTAAGTATTTTGCACTCGAGAGTGCAATTGTTAAGATGGATCTCGAGAGACGAAGGATATAGTTCAACACCATAACAGATGTCACATGCGCACACAAGAAGCATCACCAACAGCCTCAAAATGCTTATGACATAATTAGCTTACCATCCGTTGCTGCCCCCAGTAACATAATTATTAATTGCATCCTCAGACCGTTGTATGGCGACATCAGAAGATAAAATGCCGCCACGGCATTGGTCACTAACCCCGCAGCTATCGATGTCGTGATCGAGCATTTATTTGTCATCTCCCACTGCTTACAATGCGACACCTCCGCCCTTAGCACCGGCATACCCGGAGTCCCGATGGAGATCGGATATAAAGAAGGGCCACATCATTTATATGCCATGCTATTCATTGCAAACGCAAGTAAACCAGAACAGCACTAACATCTCTGAAACAAAATGTCTGAACCCAAGAAGACTCTGCATCTGACGGCTTTTATGAGGCCGGTGAGCCTGCATACAGGAGCATGGAGATATCCCGGTTCTTATCCAGATGCCAACTTCAACCTCAATCATCTGAAGTCCTTCATTCAGAAACTTGAAAAAGCCAAATTCGATGCCTTCTTCATGGCTGACCACCTGGCGGTCCTGAACATGCCTGTTGAGGCCTTGAAGAGAAGTCACACAGTTACGTCTTTCGAGCCTTTCACTCTCCTTTCCGCCTTGTCAGTTGTCACCGAGAGGATTGGCCTAGCCGCAACTGCATCAACCACATACGACGAGCCATACCACATTGCCCGCCGCTTCGCGTCGCTTGACCACCTGAGTAACGGCCGCGCTGCCTGGAACATTGTCACGACAGGAAACCCAGAGTCTTCCAAGAACTTCGGCCGCGATGAGCACATGGAGCACAGCGATCGCTACAAACGAGCCAGAGAGTTCTACAATGTCGTGACCGGCCTGTGGGACAGTTTCGCCGACGACGCATTCGTTCGCGACGTCGACAGCGGTGTTTACTTTGACCCGGAGAAACTTCATACTCTCAACCACGAGGGCGACGAGCTCAAAGTGAAAGGTCCTCTCAACATCGCACGCCCAGTTCAGGGGTGGCCTGTCATTGTCCAAGCAGGACAGTCTGAGCCAGGAAAGCAACTTGCCGCGGAAACGGCCGAGCTTGTCTTTTGCGCGCCGCGAGATCTGGAGTCTGCCAAGTTGTTTTATGCCGATGTTAAGGGTCGCACTGCTGCCGCTGGCCGAAACCCGGACCATATCAAGATCCTCCCGGCGGCACTGATTGTGATTGGCGATACCGTAGAGGATGCAAAGAACAAACGCCTGAAGCTGGATACCTTCGTGCATTATGATAGTGCCATCGCATCACTATCTATCTCTCTAGGGGTGGACGCCTCCAAATTTGACCCCGATGGACCACTTCCAGATGACATCCCAGAGACGAATGCGAGCAAGTCCGGTCGCGAATCAGTGATCAAGCTGGCCAAGGATGAGGGCCTCACCGTGCGTCAGCTTGCTCAGCGCTATGGTGGCTATTCCGGGCTTGCGTTCGTAGGCACTCCGGAGACGGTTGCGGATGGATTCGAACAGTGGCTAGTTGAAGGGGGAGCCGACGGATTTACTGTTACCTTCCCTTTCCTTCCTCAAGGTCTCGATGATGTGACCGAGAAATTGATCCCAGAATTACAGCGTCGGGGAATTTTCCGGAAGGACTACACAGGAACAACACTACGAGAGCACCTGGGACTTCCCCGTCCTAAGAATGCATTCTTCGAGAAGCCTTGAGAATTAGAAGTATCACATAAGAACTGAAATAACATGAAACGCTTTAATTTTGCAGCGGCGCGATTCATTCTAGTTTGAGACAGTGTTCTATGTAAACGAGATGTCCCCCTTCCATTACCAAGCAGTTACAGGTATTCTGAATGTCGATCCAACAAATTTTGCGATTGATAAGAATCGCCAGAATGCTAAATTAAAATCTTATATGTTGTGAAAAACAAACTATCATCATAACAGATTTCAGATCATTATCTGAATTATTCTCCCCTAAAAAGACTTGGGATCTCTAGATCTTGGTTCGAGAAAACATTAAAGATCGCCCTTGAGGTTTCCATTGAAGATCATCTTGTTAATGGTGGAGCTCGGGATGCTTCTGAGCAGCCCGTTTGTTGCAGTCTCCTTGAGCAGGGTGCAGAGTGCATCAGCTCCAGGGAATCCGTTAAGACCAGCAAGGTACGCAGCAAGACCAGTGGCGTGGGGAGTGGCCATTGAGGTACCTGACTTATAACCAGCACCACCACCAGGGATGGTGGATAGAATTCCAGTTCCCGGGGCGAAGACATCGACATTCAGTCCAAAGTTGGAGAAAGAGGAGCGGCGGTCTGTGCTATCGGTAGCACCAATTGTGCACACAGTTTGCTCAGAGGCAGGAGATTGGCTGCCAGCGTCTGTGTTGTCATTTCCGGCTGACACGGCGAGGAAGATATTATTGGCAACAAGAGCAGCAGCTGCCGCGTTGACGGCAGTCGAACGACTATCTCCGATCGACACGTTGGTCACTACTCCCTTGGGACAGTTCCGCTTGGGGGCATCTTTGACAACGAAGTCCAAGCCGGCAATCAGCTGAGCCGTGGTACCCTTGCCTTTTGTGTCTGTAACCTTAACTGCGTAGATGGTTGTCTTCTTCGCCACGCCGTATGTCTTTGAGCCCACTGTTCCAGCAACGTGAGTGCCATGCCCGACGCCATCCTCGTTGATATTATCACCAAAGTTGGCAGCCCAGGAGGCTCTACCCTCAAACTCGGGATGAGTAACGTCAACTCCAGAGTCAACAATATAAGCACACGTCCCAGTACCAGCAGAACTGTCGTATGTGTATGTATAAGACAAGGGATCGGTTGAATAATTTAGCAAAGGTCGCTGAGAGATGCGAGCAAGACCCCAGGGGGCGCCAGTCTGATCTACCCATTCATCCAACCTAAGCGTCGAATCTTGCTCAATGTATTCGACCTAAGCACGAAAAGAACTGTTAGAAAACAAGCTAGAAGGCCATTTGGAGTGGAGCGTACCTCGGGATTGTTCCGAAGGGCCTCAAGAGCCTTCTCATTCAGCTGGCCGGCGAAACCCTTGAACACGTTGCCGAAGACATGATCAGGAGCTACTGAGAGGGAGTTGATGACGCTGCTAACTGAGTTCGGCGACGATGATGATAAGGAGTTGCTGTTCTTAAATTTGACGATCCATTGATTTTGGATGCCATTTCCATTTTCATCCCTTCTTATAAGCGGAGCAGGTTCGGATCTTGCAGCAGGAGCGGGAACGGCGATGGCAGCCGGAAGGATTGCGAGGACAACAGACAAGCGCATTTTGGAAAGTTATGCTGTATGAGTGGTGGTGTGGTGTAGCTCGTATTGCTTGATCCTTGGTGAGGTATACAGGTGATGGTCCAAAGCAGGCTTGTCTCCCAGGTGATCTGAAGTATCGAAGGGGAACGAATACCTTTTATCATCTGAAGTTGTTCCGAGAGATGATCAACTGCCATTAATACAGGGATCCGGCCCTCGGAATATCTGTCAGGGGTTGACTTAGTCACAGGGAAACGATGCCAAAGGTGGAAACGCTCGTACTTTCAAAGCCACAATGCGGCTTTGCTCACTAACGAGATACACTTTTAGCCTAGAGCGAGAATATTTTGGTTTTCTAGCGAACCAAATCTGCTGAGTACCAGGGTCGGATCTGCCACCAGCTACCATGTCAGTCTACCAGGGGGGCCACAGCCAGCCTGGCGTGACACTAATTATAGAGCCCCCAAGTAACTTTATTCCTGGCCTGATTCTGTATGAGGAGTGATAAACGATAAGAACAAAGGATAGTTACAGAGGAGTACGGTCAATAGTCTTGTGAGAGGTGCCAAACCTCTACTCATTACGCTGCACTGCTCTTCTCAGAGAAGCCGTTGTCCAGCTGGTACTATCACGATTAACTACAGAAATGAGGGCCCACTGGAAGTTGGCGTCTTCAAGCTTGGACCCATGCTTCCTTCTTGGCTTCTTCGTCCCAGGGGTTCCCTCGGCTCGAGCAGATCAACAAATGACCAGTCAGAGTAGAGAATCTCGGGTCTGCATTCATCCCCGCCGACCATAAGCAGGTCAATGCGCCTACGACTTTCCACACAGGGTGAGGCTGAGGTGGGTTGTCAGCTCGGATCAAGATGACGCGACAAAAAGGCACTAGCACAGGTTTCACGCTCACAGCCGAGTCACTCAGTCTACGGGCCAATTACTATGAATGAATACATAGCCTCCCAACACGATAATTTAAAGCGTCGCCTTATACATGAATTTCTCATCACCATATGTTGTTATTTTCATATTTAAGTTACCTGTCAAACATACTTCCCATAGTAACCAATCAGCGAACGAGAATTAGATTAAGCAACCCTGTCATGCAATTAAAGAATCATGCGGTGGCTTTGAGAAAGCCCCAATCCTCTTAGTGCTTGAATTTTATGCCTCAGTAGATTACTGAGTGATACCAGTATTGTTGCTGTGCTCGCTTTCCTACAGAAAGATGTGTGTTACCCCATGGCATGGACTTGACGATTTTGTAAGAGACACAAAATAGTCCTTCATATGCTTTTTATTATCACATGATGAAACGGATACGGGAACTGAAACTCTCCCAGTCCCATGCCCTGTTGTGGGTGAGTGAATTGTAGCATGCTCGGCTTACGAGACAGACTGCGAGCGAGATGCGAGCTCTGATGCGGATTGTGTGCTGGCCCTTTAGCAGAAACCTGGTAACCAAACAAGACAAACCGTTACCAGATCATGCCAATAAATTCACTTCGCTTCTTCGCCCAGTAGCAAGCGGCTATGTCGGGAGGCGCCGTTCAACTCGCGGCCCTCCTCAGGGTCGTCTCAAACGAGAATACAACCCGCAAACGAAAACCTCAGATGGAATGAGGAGCTTGAACAGGGCAAAACGCAAACAAGAAGCCTGGTGCTTTCGTCTTGTTTTCTTAGGCCTGTGATTAACGAGTGTCACCGATGTAGTAGTGAAGACGGGCAAACCATGAGCAGGATACACTGATTCAGGCCAATTACCTTCGAATGATGGCAGGCTCCGCAGCCATGATCAATCTTCATCCAATTATTCATCTTTTATTTGCATTTGTTATGCTAAATCAGCACCTCATCAAGAGATGATTTACAGTAATCAGCTCTGGTCGCCAGTGGCAGACGTGAATTACAGTGGTGACCCACACAAACTACAGCGCGTTTCAGGGGGCAATTCTAAGTTTATCCAGCAGATTCCCGAAGTTTCCACTTGCATCACGCGAATCTCCAGCAATGACGAAGCACCAATCGCCTTTGGTTTGCTGGTCTACGCAACATTGTCGCCTCCATGAATCGCTGTCCGTGACGTGCTGACAATCACCGAGAGATTCTAGCAATTTCTCCCAGTCACTCACAAGCAGCAGGCAACGGCAAACATGGCGAGCCTCCCCCATTTAAAGATCTGGCTTCGCAACTGGAGATGAACCATTCCTCTCTCATCAGCCCCATCCGCAGTTCAAATACTCCAAAGCCTCTGATTAACCTGCAAGCATCTCGCTATATTACCTATCATCGCCATATACACCCACTACACGCTAACATCAACACAATGGCATTCGCTGCCCGCCCCATCCACAACGGCGCTTCGTTCAACCCTCTCTTCCGCCTCATGGAAGACTATGACCGGTACTCCAAGAGCGACACCGCCACCGCGGCACCCTCCATCCAGTGGCAGCCCAAGTTTGACGTCCGCGAGACATCCGACGCCTACTTTCTCCACGGCGAGCTCCCCGGAGTGAACAGGGACCAGATCTCGATCGAATTCCCTGAACTCCAGACACTAGTTATCCACGGCAAGTCCGAGAGGACCTACACCAGCGGGAGCGAGAACGCCGACGATGCCGCCGAGACTAGCTCAAACTCCCACCAAGCTACCGTGGAAGACGAGGCCACAGCTGATGCTCCCAAGGCCACAGCTGTCGAGCAAAAGAAGCCCGCCGATACGGCCAAGTACTGGCTGAGTGAGCGGAACATTGGCCGTTTCTCTCGGTCCTTTACCTTCGGTTCTCGCATCGAGGAGGAGGGTATCTCTGCCCGCCTTCAGGATGGCATTTTGAGTGTCGTGATTCCCAAGGCGAAGCACTATGCGGCTCGTCGCATCGTTGTCAACTAGAGACACATTCGGATGCCATGCACTTGTCACTTGTCATTGCATTGTTCCGGCGTTTGGGATTTTATAGGGACAGATTGAGGGGATAACACGAGGAATAACTGGACTTCCCCATTGCCCTTTTGATAGTCATTATTTGAGCTTTAATGAAATACAACCTTTTTGCACATCAAAGGTGTCGTGGACCTAGATTGCCGCCTTGCCATTCCATATAAGTATTTGCTCTGATTATGTATGTTGGTTGCTTTTCCTCCATTTACTCGTAGGCCCACCTTCTACACCTAGATTATCCCACCTGTCCAGATCGACCGAACAAAGCAACAACCATACAGCAAAGTAATAGAGTTGGTAGCCACATGAGAAAAGAAGACATTGAGGGGAAAAAAACAGCAATAAGCAAAAAAAGAAACTGTAATTCTCCGGTACTGGGAATCGAACCCAGGGCTGCTCGGTGAGAGCGAGCGATGTTAGCCACTACACCATACCGGATATTGGATACGCACTGATGCCGATCTTTGCCTTATTCTAGACAGCCGGATCATCTCAAGTCTCTGTTCTGGGTTCGCGGATGACAGGACGTACTATCAGCTAGTTGTGGTGATGGTGATCAATCTTTGGGTTGACCTAGAGTACCTGAATTCTCTGTTCGTCTCAAAATTGTATGGGTTAGGTACATAGTCAATTCTCATTAACAACGTACCCTGAAAATTACTGATGTTCATGAACACAAACCGTTTCAAACGTGTTCAACTCCAACGCCTCATTTACCTGAACCATATGATAGCTGAATGACAAACTTCACTTAAGAATCGACATTCTTTCGGCTCAAGAAAGCTTTTTATTCTACCGGAAGTCTCCATTTTCCTCGGTAGACTCAGCGCAGACCGACAATTGGGAGGCATGGAAAGAGGTACAGGGTAGGCAAATTCACCAGTGCATGATGCCAAGATGAAAAAAAGCACGGCTCATTCTGAGATGTGTAATGGATGATTTATTGATTGTTTTTGAGAAGGCAAAATATATGGGTGAACAGGTAGAGATGGGATCTCGTATGTTCTCTTTTTTCCTTTACCTAGGCTCCTCCTCACCGCTCTCACAAGGGCCTGCCGCTTCAATGATCGACGACAATTTCTCCTGAATGGAGCAATGCAGGGGTATAAAACTTGAAGCGGCTCCGGATAGAGCGGGTTTAGCGCTGTTTACCTGCTTGCTTTGCTGTCACGGTGTCTCACTGCTCGTAATCTTCTTCTCGCCATGGACTCACGCCCCCCAACGTCGGGTAATGTTTTTGGCACCATCACCATCGCCATCGCCCCCGAAGAGGGACAATTGGGAAGATGGCCACGTCCACAACTCCATGGTCCATCTTGGGCAGTTCATCGACGCGTCTTCGTGGCTGCCCATCGGTCAGCGCCTCCAGCACATGACATGGGCCTGGTTCACCACAACAATGAGCACGGGAGGCTTGGCTTTGCTGTTCCATACAACGCCCCATCGCTTCACCGGGCTGGATATTATCGGCCGGATCGTCTACATATTCAACTTGGTCCTCTTCGTCTTGATCACGGCCAGCATGGGCTACCGTTTTGCTGTCAAGCCGAAAGCTTTGAAACATAGCTTGACTCATCCGACGGAGAGCCTCTTCTTCCCTGCCTTTCTGCTCAGCTTCGCTACTATCCTAACGAATGCCGCTGCTTATGGCGTCCCCAATTCCGGTCCTTGGCTGGCCACTGCCATCTACGTCCTCTTCTGGGTCTACGCGGGCCTCTCGACGATATCCGCTATCGTCCAATTCTTCATCCTCTTTAGGGGTGAGAGCTTATCCGTCCACTCCATGACGCCAGCCTGGATCCTCCCCATCTTCCCCGTCATGCTGGTGGGAACCCTGGCCGCGTCCATCTCCCCCACCCAGTCCCCGGAGCGTCGCATCGCCATGCTGGTGGCTGGCGTCACCTACCAAGGCCTCGGCTGGACCGTCGCCTGCCTCGTGTACCCCCTATATCTGGGCCGACTCATGCAGGACGGCCTGCCCGCGCCGGCGATGCGGCCGGCGATGTTCATGGCCGTTGGGCCTGCTGGGTTCACCACCGTGGCCATCATCGGTATGGCGCGTGCTATCCCAACCGGGTACGGGTATTTTGGTCAGCATCCTATGGCGCAGGAGGTTTTGAGTATAATGGCTACCTGGGTGGGGATCTGGATCTGGTGCATCGGGTTCTGGTTCTTCGCCATTAGTCTCATCTCCGTGGTTGAGTCAGCGCTCAAGAAACAGCTGCGATTCTCGCTTTCGTGGTGGGCATTTGTGTTTCCCAACGTTGGCTTGACGGTGGCTACAGCACAGATAGGGCAGGAATTGGGGAGTGAGGCGATACAGTGGGTTGCGAGTGCCATGACGATTCTCATTGTCGTCATGTATTTCATCGTCGCATACGCTCAAGTCGTCGCGGTCAAGAAGAAGGCGATACTGTGGCCCAAGGATCATAGTAAGTAGTTGGGGTTTTAAGTTGGGTTTCCTTTTGAAGATCTGCGTCTAGAGTCAAAGTTTGGGAGATATGTTGACTAGAATCATGTATGGCTCATCAGTATCGCGTAACTCGGGTAAGGTATGTAGATAAAAGTAACGACGTCGTACTTGCCAACTTGGCAATGTCGCAAATGGTTTGGTTTCCGGTTTAACGGGCTCAGTATTCAGTCGCGCCAGGGGATGGGTCCGATTGTACAGGTACTTTTGAAGGCGAAGCTCTCAGAGGCCATTGGCTTAGATATGGTTGTCAGTTTGGGGGCGAAGGAACGTCGCATCTGCACATCGAGTGTCAGTTTGTAAGCCGGATGGCTTCAGGTCGGAATTACCTGTTGGCAAATCACAGGTGAAGGGACAGCAGGAGTTACACCTCGCAACCATTCAGTATCAATTTAAGCTCTCCGACCTTGCTGTAATACAGCTGGTTCTGGCTGCTTTGATTTTCCAGCAGCTCGACAGGGGATGGTTCCCCATAGTGTACTGATTGTCGAGGCCTAGCTCAGCGTCGCATGAGCCGTGATTCTTACTGGACCTGGCCATGGCCCCTGGTTTCAGCTGGGCGGGATGGCACCTCAGGCGATGAGGTTCACTGCAGACATGGCATTCAGAGGGCTCGTGGAGGGGTATTGTTGCAACCAGGTAGCACGCGTGTGTGCCAGCTAACCAAGTGAACGCAGATGCATGCCGGTGATGTAAAGATGAGCTCTCGATGATACCTGCCGGCTTCAAAAGGCCCTGGTCCCAGTTCCCTTGGCTATCAACGGAACAAGCGGAGGTCTCACAAGTGCTGAAATATTACAGACGCCCTACTTCAACTCATTCAAACTGCCTCTCCATTGCCCATACCGGACTTGATATTCTGTTTTTATAGTCGTGATACTGCACAATCCTGGTTCCTCGGTGCGGCTCGCCTGTCTTGTACCCTTTCTCGTATTGGGTTCTTATCCTTTTGCTAACACCGCCGTGTTGAAGCCAGTATGGCAACTGCTTTTCTGATCACCGGCGCCACTGGCCGTCAGGGCGGCTCAGCAGCTCGCATCCTGCTTGAGAGAGGAATGACTGTTCACGCTCTGGTGCGGAAACGAGACTCAGCTGCTGCTCAACAGCTGGAAAGCCTCGGCGCGGTCATTTTCGAGGGTGATTTTAACAATGTAGCTGCAATCCAAGAGGCCTCAAAGGGAGTCTCGGGCATATTCCTCAATCTTTGGCCTACGCAAGATCCTGCAGACCAGGCCCGCCAAGCCAAGGCGTTCATCGACGCAGCGAAGGCTGATGGCGCGGCCATCGTGGCTTCAACCGCATTTCTCGCTACCAGATCGGATATTTGGGGCGATGTGGATGGATTGAAGCAATACTACGCAGGCAAAGTGGGCGTCGAGAATGCCTTGCGTGAAGCCAAGCTGGCTTCCTACACGATCCTGCGCCCAGCCCTGCTCATGCACAACTACCTGATGCCCGACTCCAAGTACCACTTTCCCGAGCTATTCAGCGAGGGGGTCGTGGCACACGCGTACGGGCCGGGGCGGCGGATGGCACACCTGGATGCTGCCGATGTCGGCAAGTTTGCGGCTGAGGCTCTTCTCCAGCCAGCCAGATTTAATGGCCATGAAATTGAGCTCGGCTTCCAGAATCTGACACAAGAAGAGATCGGCGAGGCCCTTAGTGGGGTTAGCGGGCGGACGGTCAAGGTCTATCGCTGGACTGAGGACGAGATCAAGGAGAAGCGAGGACGCATCGTAACTTTGCCATGGCAGCTGCTGGCAAATGAGCACGACCTTTCCGTTGACGGCGAGAAACTTCAAAGTGAATATGGAGTTACTTTGACACCATTCTCAGAGTTTCTGCTTCGTGAGAAGACCAAGGTCATGGAGTCACTGCCATCTGCATAAATCCCCTGGGTATGGATTCATGGGGAAATTCAGAACAGTTGGAAGACCACCATTAATGGATTAGAAGTGAGGGATCTGAGACAGTGGCTTGACATTTTTGAGTTAATGAACACTTGAACCTCCCCTTGAACCAGCTGTAACCTGGAACTGGGAACTGTCTCATGAAAGAGACCGTAGGCGTACAATCTGACAGCTGCAACCGAAAGGATGAGAGACTTGACCAATTAAGTGATTACAAAGGCTGATCGGAACCGATATAGTAAGAATATCATGAGCATTCAAATTGGTGCTAGTTACTCCACCGGTTAATGAGAGACGTTTGTCAATATCCTCAATGTCCTGCTCGAGTCTCCAGTCTTGTGCGGGGATTTTGAGTTCACAAATATTGAATAACATGTTTTTCAGTGGAAATTATGAAATAAATAGAAAAACAGGTGGTATCAGTCGGGATAGTTCTGTGAATCATAACATTCTTAAACTGTTATATCGCCAAGCCGAACTCCCTTCTGGCCAAGCTACAAGCTTAAGCGGGGGGTAGAGCAGAGTGGCCCACAACCCAGCCACCATTCCAAGCAAACTCTGTGACAGCGGTGCCCTGGGTGCCGTTCTGGAGGTAAACTCGAAGCACGGGTTGGGGGAGGGCAGCGACGTTGGAGGCGGGCACAGACGGCTGGGAGAAGCCGCCATCGTACCAGCCGCTGCCGTCCCAGGCCTTCTCCTTGATAACGTTGGACGGGGCGCTATAGTAGAGGCGGATGCCCTTGAGGGAGCTGCCGTCGCTCCAAGAAGTCACGCCCAGAGTCGTGCGGGTGACACCATTGGAGAAGTGCAGGCCGCCGGTGTACCAGCCGGTGCCGTCCCAGGCCTTTTCAATGATGTTGAGGCTGGTGTCTTGGAAGTAGAGCCTAAGAGCCGTTAGCAACCTTGAAAGATGATGAAAGGAAGGCAAGAACGATATTTGAAGAGCCAAATATGCGTTCACCATACCGGATGTAGTGATGAGGTGACCCATTGCCCCAGGAAGTGGCAGCAATAGATGTGCCTGGGAGAGCAGCACCGAAGTTGGTACCAGTCGTCCAACCCTTTCCATCATTGTTCCCTAATAGTTTCGAATATTGAATCAGCACAGCTCACCGGCAACATTAATTAATTCAACGATGGAAGAGCAGTGATTATACATACAGCACCATTCCTGGATCGTGTTGTTGGCAAGCTGCCCGTAGACGCGGAGGACGCTATGGTTGTCAATGAAGACACCGGCGATTCCAGAGTATGGGGCCACGGCGAAGCCTTTTCCGGTCAAGGCACCGTCGTACTATCGAACCAAGATGTGAGAACTTGTGTGAGAGAGCATTGAAATCGGTACATGTCTGCACAGAAAAGAGAACGTACCCAAGAACGACCGCTGTCGTAGCAAGACTCGTGGACCTTGCTGTCGGCACCGATGAAGTATACGCGGATGCTGCTTAGGCCGATAGAGGTTGCGGCAACGGGGGTACCAATCCTGCCGCTTCCAATTACATTTGAGGGGGTTCCGCCTGTCCACTTGCCCTCATATTGGGTCTCGCGAATTTTACCTTCGATGTCTGACTCGTAGACACGGAGATGGGTGCCATTGTGGACGGCGGCGATGGAGGCACGGATAGCAATATCGTTGACAGAGGCCATGATGATTTCAAGTAAGATGTTCGAGTGGAATCTTGTAGTGATGTAAGTGGGGATCTGTTGTTCTTGTCTGTTTGTCTTCAAAGTGTGATGGACGAGAGGAGACGACTAATTTATAGGCAATGCCATACCTATCTGCTCTACGCGACTCTATCGACACTTCGCTTCATAGCCATTGAGCGAAATCGCATGGAACGCAAACGTCACCAAAAACATCCGATTGATATCCAATCATGTTGATAGACTGTCAATACTTCGTGGACTCGAACCGTCACGGTCCAAGTTGGTATCGAGGTGGCTAGCTGAACCTGCCGCATTCTCGCTTTCAGCTGGCCTCTGGGAACTCTAGCCTCTTGGGAGTGACTCACTCCGGCATATGTATGTAACAAATATGCAGTAAGCTTTCGGAATACGGCAGTTCTGGTGATCGTCACGTATAGGAGATGACCTAAGTACGGGGAAGAGGGGTGAGGTGACATCCACTATGCCATGGGTGCGTCGACTATCGCTGCGCGCCTCCACCCGACGGCAGAGTTAATGTATGCAGCCAACGTAAGCCCGAGCATCAAGAAGGCTCGATTGGTTGCGAGTTGCTGACCCACCTTCTTCAACTAACGACGGATTGTCTAATTATTGGTTCAGATGTCGCTTTCAGCTGGCCCATGTACGGCTTACCGGTTTCCTAATGTTGATGCCTCTTCTTTTCCGAGCTTTCGAAGAACCAATGTTTGCTTTTCGTATTTGACTCCCGTCCAGCGATGCGGGGTTGGGGCGTATCAAAGTCAAATACATTCATATTTACGGAGTCCACAAGTGTTGACCAGTATTATGCCCATTTTCGGTGTAGTAATATTGGGCTCCAAGGATCCACTCATCTTACCCCGACCTATCTATACGCTCTTCTGCAAAGAAGTAATATGAACAATGTCTAGAGGTAACAGGCTCTCGAAGTATATTCATGATTTCTTTTAGTAATAATCTAGTGATACGGATACATCTTTCTACATGTTTATGCCGTGGCTGGGGGTACTCACAACCAGCCAGTTCATCGAGTGGCGGTGCCAGGTGGTCGATCGAGAATGTGGTAGTCTTATGTATGTAGTTTTTTAGTCTCTGTAAGCTTGGAAAACAGTTATTGGGGCAATTTAGAAGTACGAAATGCCGCTTACCTTTATTACTGTTCTCCTGCATTTGTTTTCGATGTACAAAAGTTAGGTAGAGCCAAACCCACATGCTGTCACTTGCCGCCGGGATCACCCCGCCGTGTGCCGTGAGATCAATCTGAGTGAAACAAATTCCGACATTTCATGAGGCGGGCTAGCGAGGGCGAGCTAGAAAAACTATGTATATTGCTTCTCTACGGGAGAGAGTTTGAGTATAAAGTTATAAACGACAATAGAAGATGTCAGATCCGACATCTCAACACAATGTATTGCTTCTCTACAGCTGGGTCTATATCATATTGACCACGATCCTCGCTCATATCAAAGGGGAGCGATGGCTGTATTATTAAGGCTCCCCAGCTGGGCCAAGCCCTCCTGCAATAGTTTCCGCTTCTCGGTCATACGGCTTCGTTCGATGGACAGGTCGGCGCTCTCACCTGCCAGCCTCCCAACTTGTTCGTCTGTAAGATCACAAATAAAATCGGACGAAAAGATTGAGGGAAGTTTCTGGACCAGGCATTGTTCAATGGCAAGAACGCTAACGTCATCCACGAACTTCTTCAATGCTACCTGTGACTCAAGTCAGAATACGTCATGATAATTTATTCTGTAGTTGTATCGTGGAAACTCTAGCCAGAAAATCGAAGAACGTACCTTGTAATACGCTTCCATAGTGTCAATAGCAAGCATCGCAGCGTAGTTTTCCATGTTGGGCTCCGTTGCCTTTTTTACAGCAGAGTAAAGCTGTGCTGGCACCAAATCTCGGCTAATCGTCGAGTTTGGATCCGCATATCTCTTGAAAACTTTGAATATTTTGGAATTATGCCTCTCGCTTTGCGCTTTCTGAATGTTTTCCGTCAGGTAATGATTATAGGTGATGGGGTGACCATTGGTGTGCGGCTGTAGAAGTTCCAGTAGCTTATTCTCCACGGTAACTTCGAGAACAGCAAAGGCAGGATTCAATAGACTGGCGATAAGTCGTCTAGCAGTCTCACTATCTGCAACATGCTGTAGAGTTGCGATGAGCGTCGCCTTCGCGTAGCCAGACACCCTTTCCACGTGTTTTCTGGCGAGCCTTGCCCAAGGTTCACATTGAGCGCTGAACATTTCTCCAACCACCAATGGATTGAAAGTTCCAGGGAGCTCACGGCCTCTGTTAGTTCTTAGCAGAGTGTTGACTTCGTTGACAAATTCGAAGCGAGGGACTTTTCGCGGTGCGAGCGCAGCCGGTTCTGGCGAAGGTGATTTTGTTGATTCTACTTCGTCTTCTACAATAGCTTTCGAATGCCCTCGAAGCCGCATGGACTTGGAAAAGTCGCTCAAAGTATTTTGGATCTGGGCACGGAGCCTTCTTTCATTACCGCCTGGCGTATTGGATTCCCCGAAGAAACGGCGATCGGAGTAATCGCCATCGACAGCACATTTGACTAACGCGACAAATGCCTGGCTGAGGGAGAAGAGATAACGGCGCTGTTCAGCAAGAGTCTCTCTAGCCTGACCTAGCTTTTCAAGTGCTGCGTCACAATCTGCCACTCCAAGTTGGATGTCGTCAAGCACGCGAGGTAGGTGGGACATGATGTGATCCTGCAGCACTCGACTCAGTCGAGTCCGCAACGCATCTACACCAACTTGCTTAGGGCTGAGAGAAGCCCAGACTCCCTGTGAGAAAAAAGCCTTCTCCGCAACATCACGCTCTGCATTCGTGGCGTTCCGCATGCTGAAATCGCGATTCCTCACAACGTGCCAACCGAGACGGAAGTTGACATCCTTGTTCTGTGCGAGCTCTAGGTACGCCTTTTCGCTCTCTGATCCCACATCCAGGGTGTCAGGTTTGGTGATGAGCCCGAGCGTACGGTCTCCGTTGGAATCCACCTCCCTTGCCCGTTGAGTGACCTGCTGGAGCGCAAACTCGCTTTTGGCAGAAACGACAGCAAGTATAATGCTCCTCGGCTGCTCCATGTAGGACAAAACCAGAGATTCCACAAGCTTGGAATCCTCGAGAGATTGATCTTTATTGCCTGCTACAAACAGGCCAGGGAGATCTACCAAAGTTAGGTGCGGCTGGTCAGGAGAGGCGACTTCCACACGGAGAATATCAGTGCAAAACACCCTGTCTGTGCCAGTCAGTCCCATAACGTCCATGGCTTCATCGACGATTGCATCAAGGTTCAGCTCTTGGATATTAGCGCCGAATGCCTCGATTCTTTGGCGTTCGTCAGCAGAACGGTCCTTGCCCGGGATGATAGACACCTTTAGCTCTGTCTGATCCCGTTCTGACGATCGACGGAGGACCAGCTCAGTTGCAAATCTTGTGCACAACGCATCCTTCGTCGGGAAGGCTAGCCCTGATATAGCTTCAAGAACAGAGCTTTTGCCAGATGATTGATCGCCACACACAATAATTTGCGGGAGGTCAATGTACTGGCTGATTCCTTGAGACCGGAGAGAGTCAATGATGTCGAGGACATCTCGACCGCCTTTGGACTGCAGGTTTGGGCGAGTTTGCTGGGTCATTTTCGGTGTCCCGCCTGGGAAATCGTGTTCGTGCATGGCGCAGTGGCTTCGTATTTGAAGTGACAGCGATCTATGTGCGATGCAGAACTCCAGCTAGGTGGATGGAAGAGGGTGGACAAATAGGGATCTGACGAGCGCCTCGTCCCGGCGGCAAGGGACTTATCAGCATGAGGGTTTATAGAGTTTTCCTTCTGCATAGCTGTAGCCTTAGGCCAGTAGAGGTTATTTTTAACTTTCGTATTCATTATGTTGAGGTGCCGGATCTGGATACAATACGGAAGAGAGTTAGAGTATAAAGTTAAAAGCAGCAATGAAAGATACCAGACCCGGCATCTCAACACACTGAAATCCAATAACGCCTTTCCTTTCCAAGACTCCAAGATCATTCACTTCTTCGAGACTCGAAAAACCAAAGTGGGCGAAACAACACGGTACTCGAACTCTCACCCGTCCGAAATAGATCTCTAACCATTTCGAGGGGGTTTGCTTTTGAAATCCGCCAAGTAGGTGTGAAAAAAATGTAAAAATGTTTTAAATAGTACACGGGAAGAATCTATTCATTGAAAAAAGAAACCGGTTGTGAAATTGTAACGGCTGTACAGTAATTCTACTTCTAATAACGGTTCTGCTCACCTAATTGAAATCCCCAAAACTCCGATGCAGATTCGTGCCCCAACGCCGCGCTAATAATGTGTGTAAGTCGTTCCAGAATGCTAGTGTTCTTGGAAGAAGATGATTTAAGACAGGTATGTATAAATCAACACGAAAAAATGATGTACACTAGTCCTGGCCAAGACAAAATCCCCCTCAGAATAAGTACTCAGCGCTTTAAACTGTTTTTAAATTTCGTAAATCGATTCACTCGTGTAGGGGTCGTAAAAACGTCTGGAGAAACGGATGTGGACAAAGGAGAAGTGACCGGCGTCTTGTCGTCTCCATTCTGTGTTATGCTTCCAAGAATGAGCTCGTTGACATCTTGGCAGTTCCATGGCTTAGCGTCAACGATATCTTTGCTAAATGGCAAGACAAATTAGCCAAAAATACCGGGTTTTTTAAATCGATTGCAAGACTTACCGGGCTTCAAGCTTGTCGTCGAGAAATGTTAACCGTCCCAGTGCATTCTCATCATCTCCAAAAGAGACGAACTGAATGCTGAACCAACGATCCTCCATCCGATCTGCATTTTGTTCGAGGCGATTGATGAATCTGATTATAAGATCTTCTACATCTCGTTTCTTGCCTGATCCTTCCCACTTTCCATTCGTCAATATGATGAGAGTCTGCCTCTTCTTGCCATCTCCTTCGAGGTACTCATCGAAAATTTTGGAGAGTGCCGCACACATATCAGTGCGAATATTGTCGTGGATTCGTTGCTGGACTTCGTCCATAGATGTACTGAATTTCGACTTGATATCGTATCCTTTGATGTTACTCAGAAACCCATGATTCCCACAGGAGTAACGAAGGTCTAGCCCGTCTTTATCAAGTGGACCAATTTTCATCGCTAGTGTCAACAACGTTCGCTTAACATCTGGCCAGTGATGGGCCATGGTTGGGTCATTGTCGACTACGAAAATCTGCGACATTGGGTTAGCGTCGGTGGTTATCCTTAAGGGGGGTTCAGTATGAATGCCATACAATATCCCGATTCACTATAAAGTTTTGGAGAAAGTCGTCTCTGGGAATCTTGTTTAGAAACGCAGTCCAACGGTTTGGTTTCCATTGTTCACTAAGCTTGTCGTATTCTTCGTCGACGGTAGTTCTCATGGTCTGTGTACTCTTCCGCGAGCTGATTGACATTTGACTCGGAGAGCTATGTTGCGGCCCTTGAGATAAGAATGACTGACGGATATTGCTTGGGCTCCAGTCAACCTCCTTCCCTTTCTCGTCGGAATAGTACGACTTGTCTGACACGCCATTCCCTGCATGGGATGAAGGCGTCGTAGGAATCTTCAGTCTGTTGCCACTTAGAACCTCTTCCCGATTGGTAGTTTTCCCATATACAATCCTATTCAAGGCTTCGGATTTCTGGACTCGATTCGTTCTTGAGGCGTGCATTGCAAGTAGGCCCCGACTTTGGTAGCCAGCCGCTGATGGATGCGTGAATAGGTCTTCCGCCTGTGCCTGAGAGAGCGATTGCGCAAACTGAGGCGCTGCTTCGTCAAATTTAAGCAGGGCTTTCCGTATTCCCTTGGACTCTTTTGTCAGATGTCTGCCCTTCACTAGTTGGTGATAATCAGATTCTGCGTTAGCCAGAATGGTTTCTAGCTTGGTTCTTAACTCAGCAGCGGATAGTCTATCCTCTGGGTTACTGAGAAGCATTTCGTTATCAACCAGATCTAGGACTTGACGAGATATCGTGTCAGAGGCTCTGACTGAGTTTCGCAGGTGGGTGTGCCAGTCTGTAACAGCACTGAGGACGTTCGACCCATCGTGAAACGCATCGTCGCAGTAGGGACCTGGTGTATGTGGCAACCCTGCGCCACTTTCACGCAGAGTCTTGATCGCATCCTGGCGAATGAATCCATATGCCTGATAGAATGTCGGGCCTAGTATCACCCATGTTGCGACGACTGAGAAAACGCAGCCGAGAGACCAGGTATCGATGCTTTGGGAGTGCGTGATGCCAGGGTCGGCATTGTTACCGTCACGTTCAGGAGCACCTGGACAATGTGTTAGTAAACGTCACCTTTAAATTGGAAATAAGTCACGACCTACCGAATGTTCTCGTCCCACCCATGAGTTGTGTTTTATCATCATGTTGTTCAAATCTCGCAAACCCAAAATCGGCTAGTTTGAACTGGCCACGAACTGAGAGGATATTGTCGGGTTTAATATCCCCATGCCAACTGATTTCGACTGCTGTCAGACGGGTAAGATACACAGCTGTTGCGGTTTGAGATAACGCACCCTTTGAACACCTGTCTATTACCACCCTCATCTCTACGCTTGAGTTGATGGATCCCGTCAAGCGTAAAGCCAACTTTGAATAGATTGGCCCAGAAGGTGTATGTCTCTTGATATAAGACAGGAGGCAACTTCTCCATCATGTACTCCTCCAAGTCTTTCTCTCCCAGCTCAAGAAGAATGTGATGAAGATGGTCTCCACTGGTAGTGTGATACTCGCCCAAATACCGAACCACGGTGAGGTCGCTTTGTCCCATAAATCCTTTGAAGGCGTTACTTTCCTCCCTGTAGACATATTCGTGCCCCTTGAAGTATGACTTGACCGCAAATTCCACGTACTATGACATTCGTTAGCTTTAATGTCCAAGAGCCGTAACTCCCAAGGTAGTTCCTACAGCACCATGTTGTGGATCATTCTTCATTGAGGGTTCCAATATCTTTCTCAACGTCGGTTCTACAAGGTCCACTTCTATCTTGCAATGATAAACCAAGGCCGTACCTCCACTATTAATCTCTTTCATGTAGAAAAAGGGGAGGATTGTCCGAGGGTAAGAAGTAGCCTGTCCCTGGTAACGCAGCGGCAGAGACACATAGGCCCAGCGGTTCTGCTCGAATTCGCGGATCACTTCCTCATACCCACCAGCCTTGTATTTTTTCGGTAGTCTGACAGATTCGGTGTGTAGATACGCAACGATCGACTCGTAGTGACTGGACAGAATAGGATTCGAGAGCGTTTCGCTCGAGGCTATCGACCGCGAGAATTCGTCAAACATGTGGCCGCATTCCATTTCAACCAAAATGGAGAAAAGTATTGGGTTTTCGAGAATTCTATTCGAAGTCGGGGGAAAGCTATGGTGGCCCTCGTAGATCTGGTTGGCGAGTGTCGTGACATTTCGCACGTCGTTTTCCTTGCGCGACAGCCAGCTCTCGATATTGGCGGCGTGGTAAAACTTCTTTTGCTCGAAGTTCGATCGGCATACTTGGGGACTGCGAAGAAGCGCTCGAAATTCGGTGCGGATGTTGTTCGTTGTCGGCGGAACAGCCATAGTTGCTGCTCTGTCCGCGGGCATGACTCTGCCGCGTTTGGCGGTCGGTATGGTCATCGTGCCGGTGGGGGACGTATGGAGAGGCACAACACAGGCCCTTGTCCTTTTCAGGGCAAATTATAGCGGTTGTTTTATGGTTCTCAGGGATAGCGACAGTGGTCCCCCTTGCAGACAGGAACAGGTGAATGGTTCGTGGCTGAATGTATGTAAGAGGGAGGGGGTGGCGGACTCGAGAGGAACAGCACTGGGGCGAAGCCGGAAGCCGAAAACATGCAGCTCATTCAGCCTCAATTAGCCTCGAAGGCTGAAAAGGGTCCCAGCCCGTGCGGTAGAGAGGTCACAATAGTTGACAAGGTAGGTGGGGATGCTAACACAGTGTATCACATTTCTGAGGGTTCAGCCCATCCTGATTTGGAGGATTCATGCAGCTCAAATGCAGGCGCAAGCGCCACAGCTGATATTGGAGTGAGACTTGCAGCGTAATATAAGCAAGTCTGCTGACCAGTGACGCAAGGCCAGTTGTCGCGGCCCAGAAACACACTGCCCGGGGGGAACTGGACAGCGTAATGTGCGGACAAGGCTCTACCCCCTGCAACTAGGCATCTGGTTGCCTTGCAGTGGTATCTTCGTGTAACCCCAAAGTGCTACGCAGTGAAATCGGCGGACAATTTTACTTGGCTTAACAACTTTTATTTTCGGCCATATTCAAGATTTTCGTACACATATCGATAGCTGTTCCTTGGTATCTGAACATGGGGAGTCACATTTTCCTTTTATCTAAGTTGAAATATCTAGGTGTTGCCATTGTGTGATTTTCAAATTATATACGGAATTTTTCTTCTTGATATCTAGGTCAATCTCGGGCATCTACAGGCCCAAGTTATATGGGAAGAAACAGAGAAAGTGAAAGGCAGCAATTATCCACCACCAGACGGTCTATGGTTCGGAATATTGGTCATAGGCAGGGTCATGTTGGATTCTGAGGACTGAACTTTCGGGATACAATCCGCCAGTGAATCTGCTGAAGATTTGAGCATTTTTGCGCCGCTATCCTTGGCGTGTCGAGCCCATTGGTGCAAGGCGTTCTTACTTTGCCCGTACTTTCTGGTAACTCGTTCTTGCAGGCGCCCTTTTTCTTCCGTTTGCTTTGTTGTCGGCTTGTCCGATGATCGATTCGCTCGACGCTCTGCCCAAACTTTGCCTCCGTAGGCGGCGCTCATTGTGATAAACATCAGAGGCAATGTCACCTGCAGCCACCGGTACATTGCGACTTCGGAATACGTGCCCCCAGCCTGTATTTCATCTTGGACTTGATACTTGATAATGTCCGTGCTGAATAAGGTCTACGTAGAAGAGAGGAGATTAGTAAGGGCATCATGAGAGAGGTTTACTTGATTGAAATCACTTACCGAAACGAATGTAGCGGGCAGATAGAGCAGTGTGACAATTGTGACTATTCGCATCACTATTGCCTCATTTTCCAGATTTTTGTTAAGCCGTTCCATCCGCTGCTGCTTTACTAGCTCTGATCGATTGCTGATGACTTTTACCAGAGCCTTCGCCCTGGATATGTGAAGCTTGTAGTCGTTGATCAGATGCCCCAACTCGCTTGTAAAATCGTCAATATCGAATGAGCAATTTCCGAAATTGACACTCTGGTTCGCTTCGAGTCTTTCGTAGAAGTCTCTCAGGGACGTCATGACTTCGACGTTGGATTCTAATGATGTGATCACTTCGCTAATCATCTCCTCGTACATGAGCAGCTTCTGTATGTCTCCAGCAGTGTATATCCGGTGTTGACGGCCTGGCTCACTGCTGCCAACCACTGCAATTTTAGTCTGTTGAACTGTTAATAAAAACGACGGCCACGCGAGGTTCAAGACGCATTTTCACGTACTTCATTATCCACGATCAATTCAAGCCACTTAATATAGCCACGCCACCCTTCCATGGACCAGTGGCAAAACAGAAGGTGAGCAGCTAAGCTTGATCGTAAACATTCGTCCAGATTATTGAACGATTTGTCTTCGGGACGCGCGTCACGACCTGTGAGTTCCTTGAATCGACCCTCGATATCAGTTCCTCCCTTAGTGACAATCCACAAGGCATTCCCATTCTCCACATCGAAACGATGGTAAAAAGCTGCGGGCCGAATAGAATAATCGTCTAGAGATGAGTCCTCAGGGTGTTGACTTTTTAGAGTCACTCCTTTGAGGTTATAGCACAGCTGGTACTGTCGACCAGACCGCGCAAGGGGCTCAATGGCCAGTGATGTTTTGCTGGTCCTAAAAGACCTCTGTTCACGGAAGCTGCTAAATCTATGATCCCGAGGTTCGCTCTGTAGACCAAATGTGAACATGAAATCCAGGTAGTCGGGCATCACTTGGTGAAATGTCAATATTTCAGCCAGCATACCACGGGTGATTCTGAGCCGAGCCAGAGTATGTTCCCCGAAAATATAACTATTGTCACAATTAGCAATCTACCATCTGACAAAATCCTGAAGCACACCTTCAAAATAGATAGGGAGAAGCTCACATGAAGCGGCATTTAGGGTCTTTGATTTCCGCAACAATTTGATTTGATTGATTACTGATAGACGGCCTTGGTCTGATTCCCAGGTATTCCGTAAGCGCCTCATGGCTATGAATGAACTTGTTTTTGGTATTCTCTACTAAGGATTTAGTCTTGTATCTAAGCAAATCAAGATTGACCTGGACATACTTGTACTTGTCCCGTTATTTGGTTTCAGATCTCGGAATGAAACTTCGACGTTCTCCAAATTGGCTTGGAAAAGATCTCCGGCCACCGAGTCTAACCTATCACTGCATTCTTTCAAAGCACTGGGATAGGTTTTAATGTTATTCAGCATATAGTTCCGCGGATATCTGTCCTTGTCCAGATACGATCTTTGAAACTCGGCAGACAAAGCCATCCTTACTGAAGTATGATAGATCAGACGAGAATCGATCGATAGAAGTTGCTAGAAAGTTGCTGGAATTGAACGCAGCTGTAAGAAAGGTCGAAGGTGATGCCTTCCATTTCTATTTAATAGTCTAGATGCATTTCCAACATGTGATGAATCCAGCCTAGTTGGTCAGCATGGCAAAACGCGTGGCTTTCCCATGTACATGGCGCAGTCTGGAACAGGAAAAGCACCGAAGCGGCTGACATGCATGTCCCACCCCTTCCGGGTTCGCTCAGCTCTTGGCCTTGGCCTTGGCCTCACACAGGCAAATGACCGTCACACATTTGTGGGCTGTGTGGTATTAAGGCAGCCACCATGTATGTATCAGTTCGGACACAAACAAAGCTGAACACCATTGCCGCCCAGCCTAGTTCTCGGTTGGAAATTGTCAATATAGGTATCGCCCCCGCCACTCTCGTTAATCTAACTGAACTTGTCAACCTTGGCGGCGTTTATCCTTTGAGCGACCTGAGCACGAAACCAACAGGCAGAATCGAGCATTAGTGAGACACACTGCGACGAAAATTATGCCTGATCACCCGCCAGAAGCTCCACGCCGACGATACACAGCCCGGTCGGCCGCAGACAATCCCAGATCCCTCCTTCGCCGATGGACACACGCATCTAATGCTAGTAGCCATACGCCGCGGAGCCATGCTACGATCCAAGAGCGATACCCGACCTACAACGGCCTCCTCACATGGGAGGATCTAGGGGGTTACCTCGAGAGCATATGGCCAAGCTGGAAAGCCGACAAGGCAAATGTTCACAAGGTAATGATTTCCAGACCATATCCCCTCACACGGTTGCAATATGAGGCTCATTATACGGTCAAATAGATCAACGACAATTGGGTATTCGACGCTCCCAAGCCCCTGACTCTGGTATGTACTGGCCTAGCCCTGGATTGGAATTAGAAAATGTCTGATTTTCCGGTGTCCATTAGGATGATCGTAAGAAGATTGCTGATCTTCGAGACTGCAAACCGCTTGCTCGAAGATCATCCACGTCCGAAGACGAAGAATAAATGATTGGATACACCACTGAAGAAATATGAGGAAGACGAATATCCCACACAACCGACACAGAGTTGTTTGCTTCGTCTGCAAATGTGCCCTTGAGGATGGGGCTTTCATTCCGGGCCGCATTGTGGTTCGCTTTAAGGCGACCGCTGACGGCCTGAGAGGGGTTGCATCACATGCAAGGCGCACACCACTACGAGGAACTGTGCCGAGCACACTGTGCGCCGAAATGTGCACTTTCGTGCAGCTACTGGGTACTTTCGTGGACACGAATGAATGCTGGCCGTTTACTTCCTGTTGGCTGGACGAGGGCGCAGCATGTATTTAGCCCATGGGGCGGCTCGTGATGAATCTTCAGGGGCTAGCTTTGATGCATCATTTTAGCCACACCCGTCGATTCATAAGCTATTGATAAGGGGAAGAAAGGAACAGTTTCTTTCGGTAAAATAAAGCAGTGTACAATCGTCACCGTGATTTATTTTTTAAGAGAAATGAGTGAAGGGGGAACAGACGATATACCCCATTACTCCATGTATGGTCTTGATGCTAAACCCCTGGAATCAGCCCGAGGGGTTTGCAGGAATGATTTCGTCAACCTTCAATTCAGGGAGACTTCCATGTCCTCACATACATTCTAGTTGTCATTGCCAGCTTATCCAATGTGATCCTTTCCTCTAGGGCTTGGGCTGATCTCTATTTCGATCGACAGATATGTTCGACCCTGGTCTTCTCCCTCCGATCTGTGACAAGATCAATCTACATCAATTGTGCTCAAAATAGATAAAATAGGTATGCGCCCACATTTCAAAGGCTCAAGGAATGCAGGATGCTCAACGGTGTCTCAGCCAACGAAAGCTACTCCTAGACATGTCAACACCGCTGCAGAACCAATCCCATGCTGAAATACCATGATACAATATACTCCTGAAAATTGAAGAGGAGTTTCGACTCTGCAACTGTAGTCAATTTAAAATGGGCAGTATACTTATTACGAAATAGACTTTCACGAGAGGATAGTCTGCACGCTCTCAAATGACGGCTCCAAAACTCCGTCATGGTGAAAAAGAGCTGAGACATCATCTACAGCAATTTCCAAGTAAACAAAATCACACTGAGTCGCGTTGCATACACGTTCATCGAGAGGCTTGAAGCAGGAATGTCAGTGCAACTACCAAATATTCCCCTGAAGGGAAGAGAAATCATCAGTATATCAGTACGACGTTGCCATTGGCATGATTTCTCCTCCTTCTTTAGTAGCTCTCTCGATCAGCCGAGATATCGAACATGAAGGTTTTACTCACCCTTCTCCTAGCCTCTGTCGCGGCTTGTAAGCCTACCGTTTACCTCATTCGACATGGAGAGAAGCCAGCGGATGGATCTAATGGCTTAAGCATTGAGGGAGTTGAACGTTCCCAATGTCTCCGTACCGTGTTTGGAAACGCCTCGGACTACAACATCGGTTACATTCTAGCCCAAGAGTATAAGCCAAGTGAGTCGTATTCCCAAACCGATCCAACTGAACACCTTGTAACACTTATTCCGATGTAGGCGGCAAGAGGAAGCGACCCTATGATACAGTTCTGCCTCTGGCTGAAGATCTTGGTCTCGAGGTTGACACTCACTGCGACAGAGATAAGCCCAAGTGCGTAGCGAAGGCTATAAAGAAGTATAAGGGAGATGGTAACGTTCTCATCTCGTATGTTCTAGACCATGACATTTCATTTTGACTAATATCAAACACTAACGCCTCCACGCGTAGCTGGGAGCATAAGAAACTCACCGATGTTATCAAGGCTCTGGGCGTTGATGACGCGGAGAAGTACCCATCTGACAGGTTTGACGTGATCTGGACGCTTTCTAAGAACTACAAGTATATCAAGGATAAGAAGTCTGAAAGTTGTCCGGGATTGGATGAAAAGTATGCTGGGGAGGAACAGGACTTTTGCGAAGAGGACTAGTAATAAGATCATATATTCTCTGCAATATAATCCATCTTATTGCAGGTCAAGAATAAACCCCCTAGTACTACTGGGGTTAGTCATCTTCCTTATAACAAGACCTCGATAGTAGCAGTTCGCATTACTACTTGTATTATCAACTTATATACTGATCAGAGTCATTGTGTTGAGTTGTCGGGCTCTGGCAGCTTCCATTGCTGTTGAACTTTATTCTCTTTCTCTTAGGTATACGGATCAGAGATTTCTTAAGCATAACTCGAATTTATTTCTACTTGAGTCTATAAAAAGGATACATAAAGATGGTCTATGTTACTATCTCGAAGCCCTTTATTGGACAAAGACATTTCTTGAGCTCCTGGTGTGCATTTTCTAACAGGCCTCCCTTTTGTCGTTGAAATTTGATATCAGACCAAGACCTTTTGCTTGACGATTTCCTCGCTGAGCGCCCAGAGCTTGTCGCCAACTTGATCACCGATAATGTGATCCAGCTTGGCACCATCTGGCACAATTTGACAGTCCATGAGGTACTCGCCAGGGGTACTTGCCAGAGCTGGATCCAGTGCCGCCCTCAGAGGTGTCGAGGTGCCACAGGCCAGAGGCTTCTGTTCCTCGAACGGCGGCTTGTCCCTGCCCTCCCAAGCCTTGTCGTAGGCAGATCCCACGCTCCCCCACACGTCTCGGTCGACAGTGTCCTGCAAGTTCGTCTCGAGAACAAGACCGGGGGTGACGGAAAAGGAAGTCGCGTTTAGGTGGCGAAGTTTGTTGGCGAGAGAGCGTGCAAAGATGATGTTGGCCGATTTAGCCTGGCCGTATCCGCGCCAAGGGTCGTACTCTTTTCCATCCTGGAAGTTGTAATCAGAACGGATCCCCTCGAAGATATACCCGTTACTCGAGAGATTGATGACGCGCGTCGGGAGCGTCAAGTCGCCCGCTGCCGCCGCGGTGGCGGCCGCCTGCTTGATGAGAGGCAGCAAGAGCCCCGTAAGGAGAAAGTGGCCAATGTGGTTGACGGCAAACTGGACCTCAATACCATCGACGCTTTTGGCAAACTCTTTTGTGGCCATGATGCCAGCATTGTTGAAGAGGTAGTCGAGGCGATCGGTTAGCTGGGTAACTTCTTTGGCTGCCTGGCGAACAGAGGCGAGGGAGCCAAGGTCGAGCGAGACGATGTCGACGCTAACTGACGGCTTCACCTGGCGCAGTTCGGCCGCGAGAGGCTCAATCTTGGAAATGTTTCGCCCTGCTAGGATGATACGTGCTGGTGAAGCACCCTGGCAAAGGTCGGAAGCAATCTTGGCCCCGATGCCGCCAGGGCTCGGGCCGGTGATGAGAACTGTGAACGGTAATCTTGTCAATAGTGTGCTATTAGGACATCGCCAGAAGCACTGTTTGGCTTACTAGTCTTTCCGTTGACCCTGTCAGCATATGCTTGCACGACGGAAAGGCCCGTGGTGTTAAAGCCCCATTCTAGAGAAGTCATCTTGGTTGGTTTGGTAGAGGAGTTGCAGGAGGAACTTTGCAGCGTGTTCTAATGTATAGGGACTCTGGTTGCCTAGCTGTTGGTAAGTTACCTGAGATGAATCTTTATAGATTTCCCCGCCTACTTGGCTTTCTACATTCTGATCCATGGGATCCATGGAACATCGCATCAAGCTGATCAAGCATACATGACAATTACTAATGGATAGGATTCATTAGACCGTGTCTGATTGAATACATCAAGCGCTGATTTTGATTGCTCAGCGAGTTGCACACTTTCTTGCAGGCTTTGACCGAGACTAGCATGTTTCCTGTGATTTACGAGCTTCTACGTGGAGACTGCTCACCCTTGAACATGCCGAGCTTATAAATACGCGCCTAGATTGAAAATCCAGTAGGCAGTAGATGACTGCTTAGACAAGCTTGCAGAAACTGGCGTCGAGGCTAGAGCGGAGGCGGGCGCCAAGGTTAATCAAGGAGTGTCGTTCATGAATTTGGACCAACTTTATTCTTATCTAATGGTTATAATTGGCTTATCTCTAATTTTCAGGGGCTAGGGTGTAATGTGCCCATTTGTCAACGAGTGGTCATGTTACATGTGCCCTCGGAGCGGAGTGGACACACGTTGCCCGCTTCTATAAAGCGGACGGAGCGGCCCTCTTGTCGGCTCAGGAATGTGGTTCTTGTAAGACTCTGCCTCTGCTAGCTTCCGGCTACCGCTGTCCTGGCCAAGACTCCCTAAGCGGCATTTACTGATGTCATGACTAGCGCGGATGACACTTGCCGCTCACCCCCTCGACTGACCTTCTCTCTCCTGTCTTCTTGCAACAACCCACGCGGTACAAGCGGGCCAACATGCCGCATGTGGCTTCTCAAGCCTGTACAGCCTGCCGGTCCGTCCGTCTGATACTCGACTCATCCTCTGTAGTAGGCTAACAAGTGACAGGCGTCTAAAGCGGAAATGCTCTCGGGATATCCCAAGCTGCGTGCTTGTGCGTCTACAAATAATCCGCAATCATCGATAGGTAGGCTGCTAACGTGTAAAAAGTGCCAGCGGTTGGGCAAGTACTGCGAATATCCTATATCTGCGAGTGACGACAGCTCAAGCGTACGGGTTCATGCTCTACATCACAAGCTCCTTCGGGGCCCAGACCACCCGTTCCCTCACGCATTCTTCCTCGATCAGGATCTGCATGCTCCACTTCGTACGATGCAGTTGGCACAGTCGGTCCAGCCAGAGCTCAAGTTGCACGTTTCCCAGTACCTCAGTGTGGACAGCCCCACGCTCTACAGTGACTATCATGTGAAGGTCCATACCTGGCTCCCCATGCTAAGTAGGAAGAGGCTGCTGGACCAAGGCGTCGAAAGTTCCGAGAAGACCGATGCATGCCACCCCCTGCTCCTTCTTTGCATGGAGCTTTGCACGGCAGAGTGCGGAGGCTCACCCGCGGAATTCCATCTCTATACGGCAGCAAAGTCGCTGTGCTCGGCGGTGGAGCAGGCTGGCTACCTCTCGCTGCGCCTCGTCCAGGCCCTTGTTCTGATTACCTTTTACGAAGCCTGCCACGGGCTTCAGCCAGCGGCATATCTGACCGTTTCAAGGGCAGCACGGGTCGGTTCCTTGGTCGGCCTGTACGCTTCACGATACAGCTCCAACCTATTCCAGCAAGTGTCTACTTGGACGGCAAGCGAGGAGGCGAGACGGACGTGGTGGGCCATCTTCGTCCTTGACAGGTAGCTATGCCAATTTCCAAGGGTTTCCTAATAGCTGATCAAGATGTAATGTAGGTATTTACTCATCGATGGGCCTGGATTGCCCTTCTCGCAACAAGATCCGACCGCCGAGGAGCTGTTGCCGGTCAACGACGGTGACTGGGAGGCTGGAAATACCGTCGCCAGTGAAAGCCTTTACACTTCGTCTTTTAGCAGCAACACGGTGCTCGGCCCGTTTGCCATGCTGTGCCAGTCGTCTAACATCCTGAACAAGATTTTGCAACACAAGATGAACCGAAAATCCTCATCAGAGCCCGTTGAGCAACTCATGAATGAAGCATTGCATCTTCACCGGACGTCATCAGCATTGCAAGCTTCCATCCAGGCGTCATCGGAAGGCTCCCCTAGTGACAGCTCCCCCTTTGCATCTGCACTAGCCGTATGTTCCGTGGCTCGATTGTGTCTCTACAACCTCTATGCATGCAACTCGACGCAGAATGGCCGGGGCGTCTCAACGCCCATCCAAGCTGATCTCCAGTACCTAAGCTTGGAGGGTATTTCGAGCCTGGTACACAATGAGATTCCAGAACTCGCGCGCCAGAGGTACGCGTGTCCGTTTCTGGCTCACTGTCTGTACTATGCTGCGAGCGAAGCTGCCTGGATCGTGAGGGAAGGCTCCGATGCGGCAACAACGTCCAGCCTAAAGGAATTGCTAGACGGTTTGCGATCCCTTGAGTCCTCCTTTTCCGTGTCAAGTAAGTCGTTTCATGGTCTACAGTTTGCCTTTGCTGACACCCAATCTCATCAGGTCATCTTCTATCTCTCTTGCAACAAGAGGGAGTCTTGGGGCTGGTGGACTCGGAACCTGCTACATTGCCTGCATTTCAAGATGGAGACGAAGAGGTTTCATCAACAATGAGCGCCGAGTCCTGACTGCGTAATGAAAATGGAGTGTAGGAGCTCAAGTCATGTATTTATTAAGACTGTATGCGCCTTGGTCATACATTCCTCATCGTTTGCGAATTATTGTCAACACTTATTTATGGGGGATAGATAGGCAGGTGCTCGTGGCTTCATCATCACTCTGTAGTCAAAACATCTCGTATTGATACTAAAAGCTTCTTGGGGTTGCAAAAGCCAGCATGTTTGGTAAGTGCTTATTAGACGTAATTCGCAGTCCGGTCATGGTCCGCTCATGCTCAATTTCCCTTTCACTGCGTAGGGCCATTATAGAAATAATTCTAACCTGCTCAGTATTGCCCCAAGAAGAAGACACTGTATATTATAAAGCCAGGGTTGCCATGTCATTCTTTCGTCTCTCCACATATTACAGGGGTCAAAATACCTTTATCCGGCGCCTGAAGGATGATTGGTAATCTTGTTCGGAAGGAGACTGTAAAGCAACTCTTAATTGACCTGACAGCATTCGTGCATAGCCTCAGCCTTGTTGATTATCAATCCACGGCAGCTATTGGGCTATGTCATCTATTAAGAGGCATAGGCTGTTAAGGACACTGGTTTGTAAGAATCAAAGGCTGCAAACTAGGAAGGTGTTGGTATAAAACCAACGAGATTGCTCATCAGTGCCCGATTCTCAAGCCATGAACAACATCCTCGCCCACTTGATAGCCCACAACAACCCAAGTTTATACATCACCTCAGGCTCTCTCAAGATGTATGGCTCCTTGTTTCGCGTCGTCGCCTTTGGGCTCCTCAACTACAATGTCCTCGCTGCCCTGTCAGCGTCGCAACCTGTGCAGCGCCCCCCCGGACTCTGGCCACATCTAGCCGAACAAGGCCGCGCTTCCCGGCCTCTCATCGACTTCATAGATGGGTACTTCACCGCGAAGAACCTGCATCAGCCAGAGGCTTGGATATCCTACTTCCACCCTACCGAGGGGACATACGGAGACGTCGGCCTCGGCAACCTCTTCGCCCAACCGCAGCTAGGGCCTGTTATCGAGACTCTTATGGGTACTTGGGCCCCTGATTCAAAATCGTATCCCCTGCGCATCGTGGGCGACACCAACAGCGCCTTGCTGTACATGGTTGACACGCCGGATATGTTCGGCGACGAGCTTCGCGTCCTTGTAGCTTTGGACTTTAAAGACGGCTTGATCGTGCGGGAGGTGGATTATTGGGATCCTCGCCGGAACGCTGCAGCCAAGGCGAATAGGCAGCCACCAGAGCAGTATCCGACTGACTTCGCCTCGGCCCTATCCTCCAACACGACCAATATCACCCTTCGAGGGGTTGTGAGTCGGTTCTCGTCGGCACTGTCGAACGGAGACTACAAATCGGCTGTTTCACTGCTTGCACCCGACGTAGTGCTCGAAGACTTCTCGCTGCGTGCTAGAATCGACGGTCGACTGGCCGTCGAAAAGTACTTAAAGAGGGCCGTGGTCTCGCTCCCGTACGGCACTGGCTCCGTCGTAAATCACATCGTGGGCAACGAAGAGGGCGGTGCTTACGAGTGGACTGGTACCCCGAAGGCTGTTGGCCGTAACGGGATAACCGCCATTGAACTCGACGAAGGTAATCTGATCACTCGGCTCACTAGTGTATGGGATACGTTTAATGCTAGTGACAACACTATGGAGTCGTTGGTCAGGTTGTCGATTGAGCCTTAAACTTTCAGCCTTGGCAAGCTGGTGATGGGTTAGGCTGGGCAGAATCGTATTTGGAAGCCAGGGGTTGTAGCCATAAAGACGAGGCTAATGCCAGGGTGAAAGGTCTTGTGACAGTGTCGTACAGTCCAAGCTCAGACACAATAGACTGCTATTTTATTCTCAAGTAGGATTCACCCCTATCTAATCAGTTCTACTTATCCCAAAGGAAACGCCGTGCCATATGCAGTTGGATTTGCATAATCATCTATATCATCACCAGGAAAATATTCAGCGAGAAATTTGGTATAAAATAGAGGAGAATTACACTATAACTATATAATATTAAATTTTCAGGTTGTATTATGATAATGTTCTTAAGTTATCTGATCAATAGAATTTAGAATTTCCCACTTTAGGGTAGGTAGGGCACTTCAAGGTGTTCGCAAACTTATCGTCCAAAATAGTAAAACTTGGAATACCGATTTAACACGAGCAGGTAGGCCAGCCACTCAGAGATGCTTACGTGAAGTGAGAAGTACCCAGCACTGAGAACAGTCGGCTGCGAAGGGACGGAACCCGGCGAGTATTCTAAAGGTAATCTGCTCTCCCGTTAGCCATAAGCCGCGAGAGTATCATCTCTTCCGGGAGGTGGCTTTAAATCTGCCTCGGGCGTCGCAGCAAGTTTCGGACCCCTGTATTCCTCCGCAGCCTCACCGCGAGAAACTGCCTGAGCGAACCACAGCGAACTATTGATATTATGGCGCTGGTTTAGCTGCAGATGGTCAGATATTAGAGGGCATCTCCCGAGCGTGATTGGGTAAGGATCAACTACCCCTGCGTCATAATCAAAAGGGCAGGCTTACTGCTGTGCCACTGCCGGACATGCCTTGCATTCGGCTCCATGGTTTCCCACGTGGCAAAAATGATTTTTGCTTCTCCCACACAGCTGGTTTTTGGATATCCAGAATTGGAACAGGCCTCAGCTCTGGACAGAGTCAAGTTGGGTCTGGGTTGATTTCAATGACCTGATGGACCCGGCTTCCGTGATAGGTCTTGCTGGCGCCGTCGCAGGTCTCGCCGACGTCATCGCAAGGACCGTTCTGACTCTAACCGACCTTCGAAATGCATACAATCAATCAGACTTCAAACTCAGTGCCCTCATATGTCAGCTAGCCACACTCAAGGCTTCCTTGAGTCACATAGCTGGGATGGTGAACACACCTTATGGCAACGCACCATCGCCGAGCATACAGTTTTGTGAAGATTTGAGGGTGTCAATGTACGGCTGTGAAGCGATGGTGAGTGCGTTGGATGCTCGTCTAGCAAAATTCCACCAAAACAAGGCCAATGGCTTGAGCATCTTGGGCAAGATCGAAGTTGTATTGGATGACTCAACAATTGATGAGTATCTCAGTATGCTAAATAACCAAACAAATGCACTTCAACTGCTTCTGACGACTCTTCAATGGTATGTCTGGTCTTGGACAATCAAAAGATATACAAACGCTTACTAAACTGTCTTTATAGTCAGACATCGCTAGCCATAGACAGGAAGCTTCAAGAGTCCAGTTCTCGACGGATCATTGACCAGGTCAGGGATGATACTTCATCCCTGGTGTCTCTATACGACACAGCCTCCCTTGCGTCAACAAAAAGCACTGGAGCTCAAGATGTCTCCACCACTACCCCCGTTTCTTTCTCATTCGATCCAGAGATATTCACGTCAAGAGTGTATCAAACGGCAATGAGATATCAGTTGAGAGTATCAGGAAATGATGATGGGGTAGACGAAAGCGATATCGCATCTTCACGTCTAGGAATCAACCGCCGATTTTCCTTTTCAGTTCACAGTGAGAAGGCTTTTGACCTAGAAGATTCACCATTGGTCATACCAGACCAAGGTGGTACAAACCAGAACCCAACGTCCAAAATCGCCTCCCACCCAAGGTCAACCCGTGGGGAAACAGCAAAAATCATACCATCAAAAACATCTCTACCACGGACAGAAATATCGAATGTTTCCAAAAAGATTCTTCTTATTGGCTCATCGGAAAGTGGCAAGAGCACGCTAATCAAATCACTCAGTTGTGCATTTGACCCTTTCGATGAGCAGACACGCCAGACCTACATTGAGGAGATAGTAGAAAATTGTGTGGAAACAATGCGCCTTCTTGTCATCGAGACAGATATAGACAGAGTAGGAGGCGACTCCGGCCTGCAAAAGGAATGTCGATTGTTGATGGAGGACGATAACGATCGGCGAGACGGCTTGAAAATGCGAAAGAATTTGGCTGGGGCTATTTCCTCCATTTGGCAAAACTCGGAGATGCAATTGAGATTTGAGCATCGCCGTCAGCATCAAGAAATGTACTATCTGCCAACATCGTCGGAATAGTAAGTCACATACTGCGACATTCTAAAGGTTGCTAACTTAACGTATCAGTTTCCTCGACTCAGCTAGCCGCTTAGCAGATCCCAACTACCTACCCACGGACAGTGATATTCTTCGCTCATATTGCAAAACTTCTGGGGTTTGCACGTTCGAGTTCAATTCAGCGGGCAGGTCATACAACTTCTACGATGTTGGGGGAGCACGCTCTCAACGTCGAAAGTGGATTGAATTGTTTCCCAAGGCAGATATTTTTATGTGGACGTTTGACATTTGCTGTTCCGGTGAAGTGTCTCAAGATCATGGAGGCGATTCCATGGAGGAACAGCTAGAGCTATGGGAGTTTGTTGTCAATCATCACAGAATCGACTTTGATGCTACCTTTGTTGTTATCTTTACGAAGATCGACAAGCTTACACCAGCGGTAATATCCCGTCTACTATCAATGCCATTTTTCCGGGGATATGAGAAAGATCGGACGGACGTCGACATGGTCCTTGATCATGCTGCAAAGAGGTTGGCAACGGCAGTGAGAGGCACAAGGATAAATGTTTCCTTCGGGCGTGCGAGCATAGCGACTTCGCCGACGAAGATGGCTGAGGAAGCCATGAGGACACTAGAGCAGCTTCATTCAATATGACACTGATTTTTCATCCTCAACATACAACACAGCGAGCGATTGTCATGATGTAGGCATGGAGGCTAGACATCAGGAATCCTCACATTAGGGGGTTAGTCTAGCCACAACGACGCCAGGGCAAATATTACACTATGGAGGAAATACCGTTTTCCGTTACTTAACTGGATAAGTCTCTGCCAAAAAGTAATAGATGAAGGTGTAATTCGCCTGAGGATATGGTGTACTGATCACAAGTGTATATTAGTAGATCAAGGCTCGTTCTAACAGCTGCACAGACTGTTCTTAAGAGACTTGATATGCCATCTGAGAAGTAAGTTCGCTCTTCTGTACATTGAGGATCATGAGACGAAGTTTCAAGTCAGACTTGGAGAAATAGGATATTTAATGATAGGATTGGAAAGCTGTGAGCGACCGCAGCTTCTATTTGACAAACAATGTGGCCAATCCATCTCAGTAGACACAGGCCATATGCTACCTTAGCCCCAGGTAACTATAAACTGCTTTGTCTATGCCTACATGCCAAGCCTTCTCGATCTACTTCCCCTCCCATTCGACTGGTCGGTTGAGTTCAACCCATCGTTTCTCCGCCTCGCTCTTCCACGCAGGTGGCACCATCCCATTGATCCTCCAGTAATCCCGGGCGGTATCGCTGATCGTAATTTCCCAATCATAGCCCTTCTCGGCGATGTGAGGAGCAAGGGCCTCATTGATACGATCGCTGAAGATTTGAGCGGCGTTTTCCCCTCCGTCGTTTTTGTGGACGGCTACATGCTCAACCACGAGACTAACAAAGGGCTTCTCATCTCTTATCTCGCCTCCAATAAAGGTGGTGTCGTTCGGGGTGCAGATAAAGCGGACGACGACATAGAAGGCAGGGAGGCCAACTATGGTGGTGTAGAGCTTGGTGATGTCTGCAGCGAGGGTTTTCCGATTCTCCGGAGACTCAAAGACTCCCGGAGAGTGGTAAATGTTCCAGAGAGGCATATTGGAAAGCTTGGGTTTGTATGTGGTTGAGCCGAGAAGATATGTTGCGGTGTGTTGTTAAGGTTCAGTTAGAGCAGACATGTTGCTGATACTTATACTCATAGAATAAAATGATCCTTTAGTCCAGCCAAACTCATTTGTCCAGAATTCCAATAGGGCCTCGCGTCAGTCTGAATCTGTCAGAGCAATCAGCCCGTGACAATGATCAATGATGACACGTATCGCATTGCGATGGCATTCAGCTCAAAGCAATCGGCATCATTATATAACCAAGGCGGCATTCGGGAGGACTCCGTGAGGTGATCTATTATTACTAATCCTCAGCCATGTAAGGCACGCGGGCTTAATAACTGATCTCGCATGACGGCTCGATTGAAACTCAAATGATTACCTTTCAACGATTGGATTTTTTTTCTTCGATTAGAAATACGCTGTGTTCAGATTGCATTTCGGCCCCAGCGACAAAATAATTCCGCCGGCGAATGAAGAAAGTTGACCCATTATGTCGAAGTGAACATAGAAGAATGTCTCTCGGGAATACATCTGACAACCTCTTTCATTTTCGCCTCAAGAAGAACTCTCGCCATGTGCAGATAATTTTGCATGCCTAGCATACTTACCCGGGTGGTTTCATCGTGTTCGTTCTACCCATGAGTCCCAGGACAGCAATCATCACATAAAGCGTCCGACGAAAGTCGCGTAATCATACATCGTCAGCACAAGTATTCGTTTGTTCGTAGTAAGCCGACGTCCGCCACCAAGAGCACACGAGCGCCGTCGCCGGCCAAGAACTGAATAAGATTATCTAGGCTATTCTTAGATCATCATACTCTCTACGACTGCTGGAAGATTATACCCACCATCACATGCGTCCTGGCAATGGCAAGTCTGATCTTGCTACACCAGTGAATACCCACCCTGACTGGAGGCAATATCATTTTAAACGGTATCGCTCCTCTAAAGGTTAGCATAGGTGATAAGGGGATCATCAGGCTTTCGAGAAAGGGAGGAGTTCTTAAATGAACCTCGCAGGATAGAGTGAGGTGTACCTTGTGGCTGTGCTAGAGTTTAGGACGAGATTCTCACACTTGATAGCAAACCGTTACTAATATCAAAGAAACCAGTCTTGGCATTGAAGAAGGAGATAACGAACCCCGTGTTATCTAAGTTAAAGCAGGGAAATGAAAGTACATTGAAACGAAGATTATGAGCCGAGTCATGATCAAAGCGTCCTTGAAGGCATCTGAGAATCGACCCGCACCAATATCAACCCCTGCGAGACATCTAACTGCCCTTGGAGTGGAGAGGACTAACTTAACAGGAATCGTCGCTAGCAAGCAAATATCCACTGCCTGATCAATGAATGCCTTGATCGAAGCACCCCAGTAAGACAGCATCGCCTGATGAAGACCCCTACAGTGTCAAGGGATTTTTGATCGAAATCTAGCTGAACTATAGGCATCCTATGTATGTTGCTGTATTGCAGCACCCTTCATCTTAGGTCCTAGAGCTCCCCTTATTTGCAAAGTACTTTTGTTGATTCGGCGCCTCCTCTCTTTCAGTGCAACGCAAACGAGGACTGTCAATGAAGTGGGCACGGATGTTCGACATCCGGAATCCTTCCTAACAGGGGCTTGATCTCGCACACTTGCTGTTCGGTTAGCAGATAGGCCGGCTTGGCACTACATACTTCTTCTCGGGAAGACCAGTTCCCGATCAGTCGATATCTCGTTATCTGGTTGTCGACTCCTCTTGTCCAGTAGTGGTCGAATCAGTTGAACCGTTTTTCCGATTAGCACAGGGTCCTCTTTTTGTTTCCAGGATGACATTAACACCAGTCTAAGCTTAGCCCTCTAATAAGCTCGACGACGACAAAGGGAAATGCGTGTGGCCTGCTTGCTGATAGGTCCAAATCGCCGTCAGCAGAAGCCCAGAACGGAATGATCCAGCGCGCCAATGGCAAACTATCACGACACAACGGTTAGTTCCACCAACGGCCGCAATGGTTTCTACCAGTGGCAAGCCCGTGCTATTTAGTTTAGTTATAAGTGATCGGTCCCTCATTTCGTGGCTCTTTCGTACAGCCGCCTCTTCTAACTAGCGATTGCGGCCTCAATTGGCATTGATTCAGCCACACAATGCTTTCGGCCGGATTGTTCGCTGGGCTCTTTGTCCTGTACCTGGTTTGGACTGTAATTTATCGCCTGTACCTGAGTCCCCTGGCTAAGATCCCCGGACCCAAGATCGCTGGTACGACTGATCTTTCTAACCCAGTAGCATCGATGACGGTCAGCTAACCCAGTTCTAACAGCATTAACAACATGGTACTGCGCATACCATGACATTATCCGCGGAGGCCAGTACATCTGGGTAGTGGAGGAGATGCACCGCAAGTATGGCCCCATCGTGAGGACAATGCCGGGCGTGGTCCACGTCAACGATCCCGCCTTCATCGAGAAGCTATACACCCTCGCCCCCAACGTCCGCCGCGAGCGAGGATGGCCCGTCCTCAACATGTTCGGCAACGACAAGGCCATGCTGCCGACGCGTGATCACGATCTTCATCGGCGGCGGCGCGCCGTCATCAGCCGGTATTTCTCGCAGCAGAACGTGAGGCGGCTGGTCCCCTTCATCAACGACACGCTGGGGGATCTGCTCCAACGGTTCGACGGATGGGCCGAGGCGGGCGATGTCATCGCCATCAGTAAGCCGTACCGGGCTGCTACCAAGGATGTGATCCAGTCATATGCGTTTGGGGAGGGCGAGAAGTGCCTGAGTATGCCGGATTGCAATGCCGGCTTCTTCGCTATCATCGAAACGAATCGATTGGTCCATATCAGTATTCACTTGCCTGCCATGATGGCTGTTATGAACAATTTACCAGCAAAGGTAGCCAAACTGTTGATACCAACCGTGGGTACTTTCATCCAGTTTCTCGAAGTAAGCATATCCTATTCATCTAAGACATGTGATGGAATCAATCAATCAATTAATTCTAACAATGTGTCCAGAGTCTCGCGGTAACGATCGAAGGTATCCGAAACTCCAAGGACGAACCAGAGCGACGAACAATCTTCCACGAAATCCTGCACAGCGACATTGCCGACCAAGAGAAAAGCACCAGCCGCATGGTTGATGAGGCCATGGTGCTCGCCATTGCGGGAGCAGACACGACGGCTGCCACGTTGGAGGTCCTCACCTACCACGTTCTAAGCGACAGAGAAATCTTCAAGAGACTACGGGCTGAGCTTGACCAGGCAATCCCGGATCCAACTCAATTCCCGGACCCCGTCAAGTTGGATAATCTGCCCTTCCTCAACGCCTTGATTGAGGAGACGCTGAGACTCTACCCGAGCGCAACGCATCGCCAGGATCGCCTGGCGCCTGATGAGGATCTGGTCTATGAATACGCCGATGGGCGCAGTGTGACGATTCCCAGGGGAACTGTTGTAGGCATGACTGCTCTGTTGGTCAACCGAAGCCCATTGTGGTATGAGAATCCGGACGAGTTCAGGCCGGAACGCTACCTAGAGAATCCAAAGAGCTTCAAGCGCATGTTGACCTTTTCCAAGGGAGCACGGCAATGCCTCGGGATCAATCTAGCGTACCAGGAGCTTCAGACGTTCACTGCGGGAATCTTTCGCAAGTACAGGCCGTACGACCCTGAGCTGAAAGAGCAGAGTGGCCCAACCTTGGAACTCCACGAGACCACGTTGGAGGATGTCAAGACACATGCGGACTATGTCACACCTGGGTTACGTCCGGGTAGTAATGGGGTCCAGGTACGGATCCGCCGAGACTAATTGAGTTGCTCCTTGGACGAGGATTCTATATCGGCCGTTGGTGAACTGCGCTCGGCGGCAGCATCACTCGTGTCTAAGGGGGGCGACCTGGAGCAAGCGCTCAGCCGAATTGTCAATATCATAAAATCATATACTAGAGACATAAGTAGCAGTCATCCAGGCTAATAGCACCATGGATTTTCGTTGCTGGCTCAGTTCCGACTCGCACAGTGATTCGTCAATCGTCCCTCTTGTTATCGAGGAAAGGCCGTTTCAGCAGAATTTGTACCTTTAGCGAGATCTTTTGTTTCTCCAATAATGTTCCAGAGAATGTTCAATTGAATGAAAATAAATCGGTGCTAAGCAGTAACTCAACGCATCCAAAACAAATCTGTTACCTTGTGGTACCGCCTGAATCTAGATGTGTGTATCAAGCGGCGGAGAATTCCCGCTGGCCGCCGATGATCCCGCAGCCAACAAGGACCCCTGTCAGCAAGATTGAGTGTTGCTTTCAAACTGAGTCGCATTGGCGGGCGGAGTTGCGGAGCTTTTCCGCACGTTTTCCGCATGTTTTCCGCCGGAATGAACACCATCATCATCGGCTGCAATCAGAACACAGCAGCTTCCCAGCAATCCCAAGCAGCCATGTCTATCCACGTGGTCCGCAAGATATCCGAGGATGCCCAAATCAAGCGGCCTGCTTGCGTGGCCTGCAGCAAGGCCAAGCGCAGGTGCACCAAGCAAGCTCCCGCGTGCCATCGGTGTCGGACGAAGAGGATCAGATGCGAGTACCCTTCATCTCGCGTTCTCCTATCGCCGCCCTTGGCGACATCTTCAGCTTCTGGAGAGAGCGCCCAGGTAGACCTCGGTGCAGTATTTGGTTTGGGCGACGCGACCGAGGACTCCGACGCGACGGCCGACCAGATCCCGGGAGACGGAATCGATCGGTTCGGGGCCAGGTTCCTCGAAAGCCCGTGGTTTTTGAGCGTGTCAGGCTGGGAGATTGACAAATCTTGCACAAACTCGGACAATAGCATCACCTACATGGACTCGGGGCTCGACTTCTTTGTTGATCAATTGCGGCTGTGGTTGGATCAGTGGACGACGGACAATCACTGTCCGTTCATCCACTCGCGCCTCTACGGAGACGAGCTTCCATGTCCGCTCCAGCACGCCTACGCGGCATGGCTGACGTATAGATCACCGGGCGCGATCAAG